TAACATCTATCAATACCAACAGTGCCTGTATGCTGTTTAGTCAAAGTAGAAGATGAACTTTTCAATGTGTGTGGTTCTAAAAAGAGTTCAACAATCAATCAACATCAGTAATTTGATTATGAAAGTTTTCTATTCTCTTCCTACTCATACATATTCCTTCTTGCTACTTCATCATTTTGATGTTATTTTTATGGCTTCTTTGCTCTATAGCAGGACTTGTACAACACAAAATGATGGAAGAGATGTGCAAAATTTAATAAAAGAAGTTGAAATTAGTTTTTTTGTGATGTAACAAAAGTGATCTGTCATGAGAAATTAGTGCTTTTGACAATTCATCTCTAGAAATCATGTGAATGAATGGACAAATGGATAGATAGATGGATAGTATGAATGACTTATCATATTAGAATTTTGTTTTTTAGAGCGATGAGACTTTCAGACAGATATGGATAGATTTATTACTGTTAAAGGATTATGCTGGAAAATTGAATAGAACAGAACGACTTCGGTTCTTAAATGATGGCGGACTTATGACGTCCAAAATTAACGGTAATTTTTTAAAAAAGAACAATGGATTTCCATGAATTTCTATTGTTCTTTTCTAGCTGACCCCCCCCCCTCCCTTCCTGGACGTCATAAGTGAACGACCCCTTAGGGGCCATTCACTTATTACGTAACACTTTTAGGGGGGGAGGGGGGTCTAAGATTTTGTTACGGTTCAAACAAGGAAATTTTTTTTTCATACAAATTTTGTTACGAGGGGGGGGGGGGGGTCTAAAAAGTCATTTTTTCGCGTTACGTAATAAGTGAACGACCCCTTACAGCCTTTACATGATTCTACAATTTTTACTAACCATTAAAACATTAAAAACCTTGATTAAAATAGAAAGAGACGCTATGAAGCTTAGACTCAATACATCCTTAAAAAATTAAGTAAAATGTAAGCTGCTAGACACCAAATGCTTCCGGTAACCGGAAAGGATATTTTATTTAATGATGACAACTTTTCATAAAAATAGAAAAAAATGCAATACAAAAAAAAAGTTTTTCAACTCATTTTCCATCTCACTTGCGTCCTTCATCCATTCACCACAACTCGTGTCTGAATTTCCCTTGTTGTAGATTGCGATGGAAGCTCTCACACAGATGTGAAAATTATTATAAGGCAACAAAAAAAAAGTTTTTCATTTCATTTCAACAAACTAAAAATTGAGTTTGAGCTTGAGTGACCGACCGATTGATTTCCTTCCTGTTCTGACTTCTGTTAGCTAGTAGATGAAATGTAATTTAATATAAAGTCAAGGATGATAGAGAAAAAAAAGAAAAGTTGGCAAAATGACATTTGTAATGTGGTTTTCATTTACAATGTTGAATGTCGAAAAAAAATTGTAAAGTCAGGGACATGGCTGTGAGTGAAAGGAGTAGAATGAATGATGACGATGATGATGGAATTTTTGCTTTTGACTGTTGCATGCATTTTACAATACATACATATCAGTTTCAATTTAAATGTGGAATTAAGCATTGAATGTCGGAGAATAGAATTGAAATATATTAAATTGAGATTCTTTTATTGCTTTCTTGTAAAAAGACCGTTTAAAGAATAAACTAAAGTCTTTAAAGGGGTCGTTCACTTATGACGTTCAACACTGTGACAGGGAAGGGAGGGAGATCAAGAAATTTGTGACAGAAGGGGGGGGGGGGGGGTTAAAAATGAGGTTTTTTGATGGACGTCATAAATAAACGGCCCCAAAGTCTTATTAAATAAAAAATTCAGCAGATTGAAAATCTGAGAGTTTTTTTTATAAAATGAATTTAAACTGTAAAATGCATTATGGATATGGTGAATGCATTTCTTACAACAAATTGAGAGATTTTGAATAAATTGTTTTCAATTCTGAATACAAATTGAATAAAAGAGATTTTCGAATCTGAGCTTCTAAAGTTTAGAGACTTGTTTTATTGCAAATTGTTTCTACATCAAAATAAAAATTTATAGACAAAAGGAAAGAGAAAGGGTTGCCTCCTTAAAACTCAAAATTTAAATCTCAAAGAAACTCTCTCTACTGACTCATAAAAGCAATGTTATCAGCAAATAGTCAAGGACAGAATTGATTTCAAATAACAATAAGCATGAAATCATAAGTTAACTATTGAGCATGAAAAATGACTGAAAAAATATTCAATAATAGTAACAAGAATCAAATAAGAAATGATATTCTAGAAATGTTTATATTCAATATTTAAGCAAGCATTAAACTATATAAGCAAATAAAACGCAGTTTCGAAGCTACTAAAAAATTTTCATTGTCATGTTGACAGCCGAAAAAATAAGAAAATTGAAAAACATTTTCAACAGGAAAAATCGTTCTATATTCGCATGAAACATGAATCATTCAAAGCTTCATATGAAGCGACACAGCACGTCATTTATTCGCATCCACATATATTATATATATTTTTCATTTTCTCATTTCTCACTCTGCTTCAGAAGCTCCCACACGATGCATGCGATTATATTAAAAAAATCATTCACATCATTTCGTAAGAAAGCGTATATAAAGATGCATGCAATAATAGGAGATGAATAGAGAATCTTCTCCTCAATGTATCCTTATTCATGTATTCATATACAGCTGCTTCCCATTCTTTTATTTCTTCAATTGAAATAGTTTCAAGAAATAACGAAGTTTTCAATAAATTACATATTGTGAAGTATTTATGAAAATGAAAGGGAATGAAAGTGTTGGAAATGATTTGAGGAATGTAAAGCTAATGAATAAGTCTATGAGTAGCAATAAAATTAAATTTAAGCGCTTTGAATTCTGGTATTGGAAATAGGGTCGATGATGGATGATGCCTTACTTTTAAGGTGCTAGTCAGCTTGTTGAATCGTTAACACATCGTTAGGCTGACTGGAACCCTCTCGCAGGCACAGAAGAGCTTTAAACCTTCAAACATATGCTGAGCAAAGCTTGGTCTATCCATAAGACTTTTAATGGTACGGTGTGAATACATCCGCATTGGGTATCTGTAGATCTCCCTATAACTGCAATTTGTGTATACTAATGTAAAACAAGTCGGGTTCGATGGGAATCGAACTCACAACCTCAAAAGAGGCAATCTCTGACCACTCGATCAGAGATTCCTGCCACTCAGCCACCGAGGTACTTATCTGATTTCTGCTATCCGTCATACACATATATAATCAGTTCAACGCGAGCCCTATGCTCAGGCCTATCTACTACAGATACGCTCTTCGAGCCATATACGCAGTATCTACCCGATCTACTTGTTTGTAGATAGTTTTGTTTAAAAGTAAGGAATTTCATAACAGCCATAAATGTAAGGTATTGAAATTGTTTCATTCGTAATCAGTTCTCTCTTCTGCTACTTTTCTTTTCAATGACAATTTTATAGATATGTGGATGTATGCATATTATTTATGAACTGGAAATGCATGATATGAATTTTTTATGACAATGGGAAACTTGTATTCATCATTCATTCTTATCGCGAAATATTTTACTACCTCTATTCGCGTTTCTGCCATTTTGTTACACGTATCGATCCTTTATCGAATGAGAGGTACTAAAAATTCATTTTCAGTCAATTTTGTGCGAATGTTGGTATTATTGAATTGGAATTTAGGGTTGTAGTGCTTCTAGTAAAGCGCTTAGGGACTAGGATTATCATTTATAAAAAGGAACTTAATAAAATGGTTTTGTGACATGAAAGTAGGAGAGGAGGGGGAGGGGTTCAGATATATCAGAAGCAGATTCACAAAATTTTACTAACCTCAAATTTTAAAAAAAATAAGAAAAATTACATCAAAATTATTGCAATTTTTGTCAAAAGATTATAAAAGTAAGTGAGAAATGTCACAACTTTATGGATGAAAATCATAGTGAAGACTTTAAAAGATGACTTGTGAGCACGTCAAAAAGAAAATTTTTATTACATCGTGTCGTAAAATACTTATTGTATGTCATTTTATGACACGATCGATGTTTCGAATGTTTTACAAGCATTCTTGCATAAAAACTTTTGAATTTTACTACATATTGGATAGGAAAGAGAATCATGATTTGCATTATGAAACCATGTCATAAATTGTCACCAATTTTTTAGTACTTTATGATTTCTTTCAAAGTTGAAGAATTTCTATAAGTTGACTTTTGGATGCTTATGTATTTAATTATTAAAATAATTCATTATTTTAATCACGGATCTTAAATCGATTTTCAATTAACGACACATTAATTATGAATTTTGAATAAATTAAACCAAAAAATCATGTCGCTAAAAAGCAATTTTCCCGCTCAAAAAACATCACGTCTTCAGAACTGAAAAATTGGAAAGTGAAAGCAAAACAACGTTTCGTGAGGAATTGATCAGATTTGTTGCATTGATTAGAGACAACAGTCATGTACAACATTCCTCAACATTGTAATCAATACATAAGCTTCCAGTTAAGAAATTAAGCGTAGATCCAAAAAAATAAAGTTTTAATCCTCTAAACAATAACAATGGAACACGCATCGCAGAATGAAAATGAATGAATGGAGAAAGGAACGCAAAAAAGAAATCTCAGACAGCCTATTTTTATTTCACGTGCCTTTTTTATTGATTTCAATTTCATTCTGTGATTAATTGCTTGACATTTTTCTACTCATTGATTTATTGCCGCTTTAAGCTGATTTATTTGAAATCGTTCGAAGAACAAATTGAACTCAGAATTTTTTTTTTTCGAGTGGATAAAGAAGTTAAGAAAAAGATTCATTAAAGAGCGAGAATTTACTGTGATTTTTATGAGGCTGTAAATTATTGTGGATAAGTCGGCATTAAACTGTTTTGACTTTATTATGAGAATTTATCTTCATCACAGGTAAAAAACTGTAAATTCATTAAAAAATTTGGGCAATGAGATTTTTTAAGTATATAAAAAGATCTCAAAAGTTGACAGACATCATAATTAAGTTTTTATCGAAAGTATTAAGATGGCCATAACAATCAGCAACAAAGTTAAGACAAAAGGAATCAAAAAGAAGCTTAAGCTTACGAAGATTCCGATTACAAGAACTAAGCGACCAATAAATAGTATTTCAGCATCTTCTAAATTAACTTTTTGCAAAATTTGTTCCAAAAGTTTTGAATATCCATCGGAATTAAGTAAACACTTGTTATATCATGAAAGTAAGTCATCTATTGTTCAATATATAGCTTCAATTCACTTAATATTATTATCATTTTTAGATTCCCGGAAATACAAATGCGGACTTTGTGAATTGAGATTCAAAAATATGACCGGATTATCAATACATAAAATACATATCCACACAGCAAAACATGGAAAGTCTAATTTAAAATAATTTAACTGTTTTAAAAAAAATATGACGTGAATAAAATTTAAAGAAAATGAGATCTTGACTAAATTCATTCTACATATTAGTAATATTCATGGTATTGTCCCCCCTTAAACGTTTTGAACCCCCCCCCCCCCCCGCCCCGCTACGTGCCTGCATCATCCTAAATAGCATAAGTCGGTTATGCGATCAGTAATCTGTCACCAAGCTTGTATCCAAGCTCTAGTATTGGACTGGATTTAAATCGAATGCCATAGTCATGCAGGGTTTCTATTCGATTAACCGACTTGCGCTTTTCGGGCATATTACACACATGATCCCTTAAAACAAAGTATTTCACCAAAGATTTAGATATTTGATAACATTTATCTCAACAATGGATTTCTTCCTTATCTTTTAAGTACTTACTTTCGCATTTTAGACCAAATATAACAAACAATATTTCACAAAAATTCACCAGTGTTCAGTCAGGAATCAGTAGTTTCGGTTCGCTTTTAAATATGTCTAACGTTTTTGATATCGATGTGAGTCCAGAGACTCCAGAACTTTTAGCAATAGCTGAAAAAGATCTTCGCGAGACACCAGAAATTCGTGCAAAAGGGTTAGCTGAATTGAGAGAATTATTGAAGCAGAATAGTGACATTTACTATTGTGATGAAGATGAATTTTTGGTGCCGGTTTTGAGGACGACTCATTGGTATCCAGAAAGTGCAATGAAATTGGTGAGAGAAAATTATTTTGATGGGTTTTTGACTATCTTAAAATAAATAAATTTCATCTTCGTGATTATTGCAAAATCTGAGCAAAGAAAGTAAAGCACTTTATCTTATCGATAGGACAAAGTTTCAAGTGATACGTAAACCTTTCAAATTTAAATGAAACAAAATTATTGAGCTTTTAATTCAAGTTGTTTATTATGTTTGAAGTGATTAATCTGATAACAACTTATCGTACTTTATCATTGCACCAAAGTTCAATGCTTATCAAAATTGTGCATTTTAAAAATAGATAAAAATTATTGTGTAATCTAGTTGATTTGGGGGGGGGAGTCATGATTTGGGACACCCCCCCCCCCCTTATACTGTTTTTAATTTTTTTGAAAACTATTTTCACAATACTTTATAATACAATAGCTTTTTTGGGAAACACCCCCCCCCCCCCCATCCCCCTTCTTCAAAGGCCAAATTACTGAATTATCATTCAGAAACTAGTTGCCTACTTTAGTTGAAATGTGACAACTTTAAGCTAAATTCAAAATTTTCCTCAGCAACTTCAACTCTACTCAGTTACAAAGCATTAAAAGATTTGACTGCATATTTTTTGGATTTCTTATATCTTAGTTTATTTACCAAACAAAAAACCCATTTGTGGCATGACATAATAGATTAATTATCTTTAAAAATAAAAAAAATTATCACAACAAAGTCAATAAGCTTACCTTTAATCATAGATTAAAAACTCCACGTGAAATCATTAAAAACAATTAAATCTTCTAGATCCGTCAAATTGCTGAATTTCGCAAGGAACACTGGAAATTGTTGAAAGATTTGATGCCAGAACAAGAGAAAGTTCCATTTATTGAAGGCAATCTAGTCAACATATTAACAAACAAAGACCATAAGCAACGTCGCATGCTTGTTGTTAATGGTGGAAAAATTTGGAATCCTGATCAAATTTCTTACGATTGCTTATTTAGGATGTTCTATATGCGTAAGTTATTATTTCATTGAAAATCTTCAGCCTTTTAAAGACTGACCTGATTTAATATTTTCCTTTTAGTTCATATTTTGGCACAGCTGGAAAAAACCTCACAAATCTGTGGCTGTGTTGTCATTTATGATTTTGAAGGACTTGGAATGAAACAAATTAAGTCAATGTCACCAAGTTCCATTCAACGTCTTTTGAATTTTATTCAATATGCAATGCCATTGAGAATCAAAGAAATTCATTTTGTAAAGCAGCCATTAATTTTCGAGATGGTTTGGGCACTTATGAAGCCCTTCCTACAAGAAAAGTTGAAGAAACGTGTAAGTAGCTCAAAATTGAATTTTTTTGAACTTAATTAATTTTTGAGTTTATTTGTAGATTCATTTCCATGGTGATGATATGAAGAAGCTTCACAAATTTATCCCAGCTGACTCCTTGCCTAAGAATTATGGAGGCACTATGCCTGAAATCAATTACTCTGGAAAAGAATGGTATCCACTTGTTGAAAAGTACAATGATTACTTCCTTAGATACAAGGATGTTGGATTCAAAGACTTGAAATAAATGAGCAGTTGCAATGTTTTAATGCCATTAAATTGACAGCAATGAAATAAAATTTTAAAAATTTAATTAAATTCATGATTTCTTCTGCCATTTAATGAGGCAGTTTGTTTCAGATTTCCGTAGGAAAATTTAAATGATTTCCATCATTTTAGTCAATTAAAATTAATAGGATAAACATCTGTCATGTTCGATATTTTTATTCGAGTAATTATGCATGTAGACATGCAACATAGTTTTCAAACAAATCTTAATATAAATTCAAGGCAGGGTTGCGATACAGGCATTTGTTCTCAGGTGAGAACCGTACAGTTCCTTGATAATTTGTGAGGTTTTGTTGGAAAAACCGAAAAAAACATTACAAATTATCAAGGAATTGTAAGATTCTCACCTGTACCGATGTACCTGTATTGCAACCCTGATCCAAAGCATGTTAATTTTTTTAAAAGGGCTTGTTCGTAAATGATGTCTAATTCTTGGGTCTTCAACACTTCGATGCGAGAGGAAATTCGGCGAGAAAAATTCTAAAACACCCATTTTTTGATGAACCTCATTTACGAACGACCCCAAAGCCAAAAAATTATGTTCAACAATCAATGAAGGAAATAAAAATCCACTTGATTCAGACTTTTCCACTTCTGCTTCTTGTTGTTTTTTTTTTGAGATGAAAAAAACAAAAAATCCTCGTGTAAATGTTCAGCAAAGCTAGGAAAAAGAGAAAAATCTCGCTTTAATGAAATGAAAATTAAATAAGATGAAGAATGAGAAGAAAAGAAAATATTTTGTGTGTGTTTCTTTTTAAGCATCGAAATTGAGTTTATTCAGCAACAAGCTAATTAAAAAAATTTCCTCGTTTTCATTCTAAGAAGAAATTTTTTACTCATATTTAATATGAAAATGAGGTTTAATTTTGATCGCTTTGACTCAGCTTTGAGCATCATATATAGGGTTTTTATTCCCGGGATTAAAATGTACTGAATCCCGGGTTTGATCCCGGGATTACATTTATTTCAATAGGGACGCTAAGAGCGTATGTATTTCTCCACGTTTAGTATGGAAGTCTAGGTGTCTAGGTTTTACGTACTTACTTACTGTAACCATGTTCCTATGTGAACCTTAGGTTACAACAAAAGGTTTTCCAACTGACTGTGTTGCTAGGTCCTTGTCTCGGTTTTGTAGATCTTTAAATAATATTTGCAAAGCTAATGGTGGGGGAGGGGGAAGAGGGATCTGAAAATAAAGTTTTATGATTGACGTCATTTTTTAACGCTTCCTTATTAAAAGCTACAGGAAAAACATTATTTTAAAAGGATAAATATTTTGTAGAAATTAACCTCATTAAAATAATAATCATATATTCAATTCTAATGCTTACAAAAAAGTCGCTTTCATTCATTTCACTAAGATTACTCATTTTCTATCCAATTCGTCGCTGATACGTGAAATTGAAACATTCATTTTCTCATTTTTCTTTCTATTTATTTTCGTGATGATTCAAATTTTCTTCTTTTTTTTCATTTTTCTTCACTCTTTATCTGTTAATGATTATTCTAGCATCGAATTAATGAGATTAATATCTATGATGATGTTAATAATGATTAAAAATAGATATAAACTAATTAAATCAATGCTGTTGCTAGCGCTACCTCTAATTATATTGCTTGTAGGTGTTGATTTTTATTTACGTAAATTTTATAGGATTAATGTTATTTACAAGATTCACGAGAATTATTTTTTTGCGAGTAATTAAAATGCTTTCTGGCCTTAACAAGCACTTGAAAAAATTGTGGATGAATCACTTTTTCATTGTTGGAAGCGACTTGTGACATTTTTCTTCAACTTTTAAGATCGCATTTTTCAAAAAGTAAGATTGAATGTAAATCGAATTCCTCAAAGACTAACTATTCGACAATTAGATAAATAAACACAATTTTCCTAATGGAGATATTTGAAATAGACATAAAACTTTCACCTTGAGGATTAACATATACACATTGCTTGAAATTGCCTTTGGAATTTTGAATTCCCACTTGAAGTGTGTTCTATGGATGCTGAAATTTACACAATATTACACTTTTCATCCCAAAGTGTCATGAGACTAGCGACTGACTGACTGACATATGGCACGTGATGATTTTATTGCTACACAATTTCTCTTTTAATTTCTTTCTCTTTTCTCACTTTAATCTTTCATCCTCATATAATATTTATACTTACGTCAAATTGTGTGCTTATACTTAATGGAAGTAGTCACGTTTTATCGTCTAGAGACTTTTAGGATGATGGAAATGAAAGTGAAAAGGAAAAGAAGAATAATGCTTTTTTGACTTTTGATCGAAGTTGAGCTGAGATTATAAAATAATTCTCCGGAAATACTGTAGTGCTGAATATGAAGTTTATTAATGTTTGGTGGATTTATAAGATTCAAAAAATTTTGATTCAAAAGTGGTTAAAAACTTCAGGTTTCCAGGGCTTCAAATCATACCTAAATAGCCATAAAATCTGATCCAGAACTCAAAATCGAGTTGAATCGACTTCATGATCTATAAAATTCTACAGATCGTTTTTTGATTCCACCAAAAAACCTGACATTGAACTGTTTTCATTAAAAAACACACTTTTTTTCAAAATTCCTGACTCGTGGTCTGCATGTCACAAGTATAAATATTAATAAGCATAAAATGAGAAAGAAAAAAAAACGTAAAATTCTTTAAATAATTCAAATAATTTTCTACTTTTTCTTTCTTCTCAAAAAAAATAAGTAAGCAAAAATCTTATTCTGTCGTACATTTCCTTTTTTCAATATGCTACGAGATGCGGCGTCATCATGCAAACTAGTTTGAAATAATTTTGGTTGAATTGGTTTGAAAACGATTTTTTAAAAAATCAATATTATTTTGATGCTTGGAGGAGGGGGGGGGTCTAAAAATTAACATTAAGAGGACTTTGAACAAGTGAACCAATTGTCATGACTACAAAATTTTTCATCATCTTGCTCAGCAATTTTAACTTTCCCGAATAGCACAAGTCAGTTTATTGAATAGAAATCCAGCACCACGCAGGCATGATTTTTGCATGTTGCTGGCTTCAATTTAAAACCAGCACCATGCTATAGCCTAGATTTCTGATCGATTAACCGACTTGTTCCATTCAGTTATTACTTTCGATATCCAATTCAAGTAAGCCAAGTCAAAATGAACACAATCTAGTCCCGAAAATCCCACATTTCCTTATAAAAGCGAGAAAATGTGCTAAGAAGTCATTGAATTTATAAGAGGAACGGTGAGCGTGATCTGAGCGAGAAAAGAAAATTACACTTGGGACTTTCATTCCTTTCAAAAACTTTTCTCAGTCGTCTACGGAACGTCATGATATAACTTTTAGTTCCACATTCATGTGAAGAAAGAAATATTCGTGCTGTGAAAAAAAAAATAAAAAAAAAGAATAGAAAAAAAATTACGAGGAAGTGATGACAAATAATTTTCGCAAGGTCAATGTGTTGCGTAGCGAATGGGATCTCCCCGAATGCTATGACAATCTCAATTTCTCACGACGATCAGCGTTCGGAATTTTTTGGTAACAGAGTTAAAAACTCTTTTAAAGATTTTTTTTGGGCACTTGATGAAATCTTGTATAATTTAATTTGACGTTGATTTACTAGAGTTGAGATTTTTTTTTTAAAAAATGAAAGTTAATTAAATGAAAATGCAAATTTTGTTTACATTTTTGAGGAACAGAAGAGGAAACATGACGTGAAGAAATTTGCAGAAATGAAAATCTAAGCATTTTAATTGTGCTGCTTAAAAAAGACAGAAGCTGAATTTTTTCGCTACATTTTAAGAGACATTAAATGTGAAAAATAAATGATTTAAAAATTTTTTTGTTCTACGTTACGCGCCATAGCCAACAAAAATGAGAACTGTAAATTACTAGTAAATATTCAGCAGGTTGTGATGTATAAGAAAATGTGGGAAAATTAAGCAAAAAACAAAAACAGAATTTTCATTTATTTATTTTTATCTTATGCTTATTAAAAGCGTATGCTTGATGAAACTACTTTTCTATGATTTTTATTCCATATCATTAATTTTTTTACTGAGATCGTTCATAAATGATGTCCAACGAGGGGCGTTGCTTGGATTTTTCAAGGGGGGTTACCCAAAAAATTGTTATTCTCAAAAAATCAATAAAACCTTCTATATTCGGTTTTGAAAACCTTATTTTATCCAAGGGCACCTAAGGACCCCCCCCCCCCTCCCTCCTCCCCTGTCCAGGTTTAAGAGATGATAAGGGTCTGTCGCTGTATGACTCTTTTTTATAGGAATTAGTAGGAGGGGGGGGGGGGAGTGCTTAAAATATTTCCAATTTTTATGAACGTTATTTATGAATGACTCAATTTAAAATACTATTTTTATTTCCAGCGAGGGGTTTGATAAAAGAAAAAAATTATGCGTCGAGATCAAAAGATGGTCAAACCTCAGTAATAGTGAAACAATAAAGAAAGCATTAAGGGAGTTAAAAATGTTGAAGGTAAGTCATGAAAAATTCAAAAACTTATTAGAAACCGTTCAATTATGACGTGCATGGGGGAGGGGTGGGGATCAGTAAGAAAGGAGCAACAGATATTCCTGGACATCCATTGCTCTTGTTTTTTTAAAAAAAATTGACCGTTAAGTTTGGACGTCATAAAATAGGTCGTTCACTTTTTCACCCCTTTTTTGAATTCAGTGGGGAGATTTTTTTCCGACTGGCCATTTTTCTCAGAACTGAAGGCACTTACAGACTTCTAGTTTTTTATAGTTGTACGTTCACATCTGTAACGGCGACTTCTATACTAGTTTTAAGTGGGTCCAAGAATGTCACTGTCACTACACTCTTAGTTTTGCACTAGATATCTTTATTAATGCTTTCTATACAAAAAAAAATCATTAAATTAAGGAAAATTGTCGAGACCCTCTTGGACCCACCTACGCACATACTTTTTTCGATCCTCATGCCCAAAATGTTCATTTCAATGCCCATTTTGCTTTATCTTTACAGCACCTAAGTCACAAAAACATCGTCTCATACCTGAACTCATTCTATGTGAATACGAAGCTATACATAGTGACAGAAGTAATGCATGATAACTTAAATAACATAATCAGAGCACAACGACTACAAAGTGATGATATTCGATACATAATATTTCAAATTACAAATGCATTGAACTATCTACACACCTGTGGCATTGTGCATGGTGATTTAAAGCCATCTGATATTGGAATAAATAAAGACATGAGTATAAAATTAATCGATTTAAATGCTGAGCAACCCAAAGAAACTGACTATGTACTGACTAAATGGTATCGTGCACCTGAATTGCTGTTTGCTTGGAAATCTGCAACTGAACGAGTTGATTTATGGAGTTTAGGATGTATAATGGCTGAATTTCTTTGTGGGAGGATTATTTTTGCTGGAAGGGACCGTAAGTATTTATAGTTTCACAATTAAAGTTAGTTCCTTAAAACTTTTCAATGTTTTTCAGATCTTCAACAACTCAAGCTAATCCTTGAACTTGTAGGAACCCCATCAAAGGATTTCTTTAATCCCTCATGCCATTTCTGCATTTTGACACAAAATTTAATGACAGGCGAAAAGTATGTTAGATCCTTACCATATTTTCGCAAGAAAAGCTTCAGACGAGCATTTGATGAATGTAATGATGATGATACACTCGATTTCCTCGAGCGGCTTTTAATTCTTGAACCAATGGAGAGAAATGACATAAAACAGGCACTGAAGCATCCTTATTTTAAGAAATTTCCACAAGATGACATTGACAATGTTCCGAAAATGTCATTTGAAGAGATTTATAATAATGGCAATGGCGATGCGAATGTGGATGATGATAAAGGAAATTGGATCAATCTTATAAGGGAAAATGTTGAAATTAAAGATTGAATTTTGTTCTTTTTTTGATAAGATCAACTTTATATTTGATTTATTTTAAGTTTTTATGAAAGACATTTGTGTGAAATTGAACTTTTAAGATTAAGATTTGTTGAATAAATTTTTCATTTTACCATGGGACGAATTTTTGACTTTTATATAGTTTATTGGGATGCAATTTAAATCAAGTGAGCTGAAATAGCTTGGTGGTGGAATGGGTTAGTAATTCGGGATCTAATCGACACAGTGTTCATGGGTTCGAGACTCGGCATGAGAAATTTTTCACTTGTCCTTTTTCGAATTATATGGACTGGAGATGAGGCTCACAGCGTTCCTTTGTAGGCAAAAGCAGAAATGTCATCAAAGGAGTGGTTCGGAACCCGATTTAAACTGTAGCTCTCTAGATTTGAGTGGAGGTCTGGAGAACCTTCTCTCATTAAAATATCATTAGCCTTGTAACGCACATATCAAGCATTTTCCAACAACCCTCTTCCCTCGCCCATTTTTCCTACTTTTGAGTTAAAGCTACCATTTTTTCAGGCTTTCCAGAATGCATATATTTAAGGGGCAATTGAAGCTTTAAGCCTGTGATTAATAATTAATCGGTAAATTTAATCACTTAATTTTCATATTTTAAACTTATTAAAAATGTTCCGAAAAAGGTTTACATCCATTGAATTGCTACAAAGTCTGTATCTTGAAGGCAAAAAGAAAATGTTTGAGCAGGTGATGAAAAAACCTTGAAAACATTCTAATTAGTTAATTGTTACATCATTTTCACATTTTTACTGTTGTTTCTCCGCTTCAATCTTCTTCAGAATAATTTTGCCCGAGGAATACAAATAAAAAAGTCGTCGATATGGATTCATCTAGATCAGGATGCCTTCATAGAATGTTTCTTACTATGGATTATCATAAGCCACTTGACAGATGGGCAATTCCACGAGTAAAGGGAACTGAGAAAAAGCAAGTTGTAATATTTTTCTACTTGTAGGAATTTGAATTTTTTTTACCGTTATAAATTTTCAAAAGATTCAAACTAATTTTCATTGCCTTGATTATTATTACGATTATTACACAAAATCATGATGTTAACATGAAAAAAAAAACACATTAAATTCATTATTAACCCAATAAAATGTTATTTTTCGAAGAGAAATTATTCTTAGCAATAAATAAATTTAACGGAAATTCAAAATTCAAATATTCTGTTTATTGTTGGTTTTGGATAAAGCGCTGAAAACTTAACCGATTAACGCAGTATTTTTTAATTTTCTCTGTGAATAAAGCATTTAAGAACAGAAAAAGGGTACAAATAAGTAGAAAAAGTGAATATCTATGGCTTAAAAATATACTTGAGCACAAAAAATGGATATTTGAAGACGTTTTTAAGGATACAAGAAGCAAAATTTTCGTAAACTTAACCGATTAACGATGAAAAAACTGAATTATTTCAGTAAATAGACCTTTAAACGTTTAATTACCTATTTTAAAATGAATATCTTGAGTTATTTCTAATTATAAATATTTAAAAGAACGGAAAAAGGTGTTATTTTAAGAGTATTTTGATCAAAAAGAATTTTACTTGCATTTTTTCACTCATGGAATTGCCCAGATTCATGTCTACCACTTTACTCATTTGTGTCTCTCGGGCTTGTTTTTTTCATGTTTTCCTTTCTTGCTGTCTGTGAACAGCATAAAAAAGAAGAAAAATTCACATAAATTCCCTCATCGTAAAACAGAAGCAGTTGAAAAGAGGAAGAAATCAAATGAAATGAGTGAACAAGAAGAAAATTCAATTCACAGTTGAGAATTAAGAAGCATCTAAAAACATTTATTTTCGGCATTTCACCACTACAATGAATTGGAAAAGGAAATTGAAACCCTTTTTTCTCTCCTTCCATACTTTTTTGTGTATCTTTTGTTGGTTGAGGAACATTGCGATGAAATACTTAGCGGAGAAAGAGGAAATATGTAAAAGTTGATGTAAAGTAGGTTGAGTTGAAGAAAAGTTTTCTCTCTGGGGGTCGTTCACTAGTTACGTTACTCGAAAAAAAGAGATTTTTAGACCACACTTGTCTTTGTTCATTGCTTGAACCGTCGAAGAAATTTAAGACACCTCCTTGACACATTTCCCTATTAGAAAGTGTTACGTAATTAGTGGACGACCCCATCCCATGCTTTCGTGCATACTTTTTATATTTCTTTAACTTTCAACAAAGACAAACATGATGAAAAGAAGAATGAAAAAAATCAAGAAAAACCAAAGAACATCAAACACATTTCGGAAGGACTTGAAAGGTGTGTGCATGGAAAGTATGAAAGTTTCAATTTAAAGCGCATTTCAAACCTAACGATATTGAGTCAGATTTTAAAATTAAATAGTTAAGTTATGATGATAAGTCGACTTTAAATAATAAGACAACGAAAAGAACAAAACATCCAGTTCCACAAAAAATTGACTATAATTGATGTAATTCCTAGCTGAAAGGAGAGAACGCAGTGGATGGAAAGAACAAAAATATTTTCATTTCTCCTTCCGCAGAACCGAATAAAAAAAAAATTGTTGTTTTACCGCCTTGATGATTTCTTAATGACCCATTTTTAGCAGCAAAGCATTTGAGCTACTTAAGATGATGGTGCAAAAGGATGGGAGGGAAGAAAAATGATGAAAATGGAACAAAAACAGAAGGAGGGATTTGAAGGGTTTTAAATGATGATAATGAAAATATTTTTTCTGCTATGGCAAGCAACAAGCAGTTTGTAAAGGCTTCACTTAATTGATTTACAGAGAATGAAAATTTTTAAGTTAAATAAGCAGTGATTTTTTTCATGAGTACTGTAAATAATTTTTGTGAGGCTTCAGAAGGTTTTGACCATTTCAATTTTACTTCCAAAAGTGACATCAAGATTATTTCGACATTACATTAACATTTTTTTTTGCTAATTTAAATCCTTTGTCATACCTTTTTGTTCACCTATCAAAATTTATATTATTCATTTTGGGGTCGTTCATAAATGACGTCAATCGACAAAAAAATTTGAATTTTACTTTTCCCAATTTTTATTACTATCCCTGAGAGCACAAGTCAGTAAATCGATCAGAAGTCCGATGTTAAGTTATCGTGACTCTGGCACAGAGCTGAATTCGATTCAAATCCGGGTTTCCCTAGAAAATGTCACACAGCATCAGAGTTCTTGCTTTTGCAGAAGGAAGACATCATTTATAAATAGGGTGACCATCTGCGTAGTTTTACAACGGACAGTCCTGTATTTCAAACCCCTGTCCTGTATAAATTTGAGAACTTTGTTCCAGGTCCTGTATTTTTTTCACGAAAATTTCCGTTAATTTTCAAATTTTCCTTTGTGTCCTGTATTTTTTAGGAAATTTATCAAATGTCCTGTATTTTCATAAAAATTAGATGGTCACCCTATTTATGAATGCTTAATTCTTTTTAAACCTAACCTTCTTTTATAAAAAGAAAGAGGATGGATAAGCTTAAAATGTTTAATGGAATAGAAATCACAGGAAAATTAAGTTCTTGAAATCCTGTCGTCCTTTAAAGCTTGTTATTCTAAGGGATAAGTTGCCATAACGATTTGACATAGCTTTTTCAGGATCTTACAGAGCTGAATTTAAAATTTCCAATTATTAAAGCTACAAAAAGCTTTATGAGCAATAAAATCAATTTTCATTTTTTTCGTGCTAATTTATTTACAGAAAAATCAGTAATTATAAAAATAACATCAGGTTAATGTTTACGAAGGAGGGAAAAAAATGCAAAATTAATGAGTTAAAAATTGATGATGAATTGATTGTAAAATATGAAAATTGACTGATTGGTTTTATTTTTATTAATTTGTTGAATATTTTATGAACTATACATGGTATTTATTTATTTCAGTAATTTATTTGTTTGTTGTTTAAACTGTTCAATCACATGGGCCAGAAGGTTTATATAAATTAAATATTTTTTAAGAGCTGTGAAACTTTATTGAATGAGATTTTTAGTCAATTTAAAAATAATCATGGACAAGGGAGGTATTGGTAAAGCTATGATCTCTTGATACCTCCTTATTTTTAGCGCATTTTTTGAAACTTGTTTCTAAAAGACAGCTTAATAATGCACTTCGTTCGGCTGCTCGTTCGGGCGAAAAAAAAAAACTTTTTAACCAAACATCGTAGAGAGCTCGGGTTTATCTTATTAGCTAAGTTCTATCGAATTATTGGCCGATTGAACAGTTAAAAATCTTAAAACAGTGTATTTATACTTTAATTATTAGTACTTTTGTACTTCATATGAAAAACACGTGATGGGTGCGCTCAGAAATTTGAATTAAGTCCCTCGATCAATAACACGAGGACTTCTGTAATTTTTCTCTAAAATTCTGAAAATAATCTGTAGTAAAGCTGTAAAAAGAGTAAAACAATAGAGTCTGTAATTGATGATAAAATAATGATTTCATGCTTTTTATTTCCATTCGATAATCTTTCCATTCTTCAACGTTTTTTTTTTTCTCATCAATTTAGTTACATTTCTCAATTTAATTCTAATTTTTCATTCTCAAGCTTTTTTATTTTCATCTCCATCGAATGGACTTGTCAATTCTGTTTTTATTTTCTCATTATTTGCTTTTATTCTTCGATTTTTATATTTTTTTTTAGAAAAAAAATTATTTTCAATATATAATCCTTTTTTTACAATTCACGGTAATTCAATAATAATAAAACACTTTATTCGTCATCATCATTTCTTCATTTCTTATACATTATCCTATACATAACATTTTTTTTGTGTGTGTTTTGTTGCAAAAAAAATAAAATAAAATGAAAATAATAAAAAACCACAATGTCACCATATAATAACAAATATACATTCACAATCATTCACTCATTCCGTCACTGACATATGCAATCATTCAGTGTTAAAGATATAAAAAATGTGAGTTTAAGAGAAAATAAAGATTATTTTTTTGTGATTCGATCTTTGTCGTTTAAAATGAAACATTTCAGTTTTAACATTTTTACAGATCTTTTTTTTGTCATTTTTTTGATAATAATATGAATGAAAGTAGTGTGTAGATATTCCAGGATAAATTTAAAAATGCTTACAACTTTAAAAATTAAATTATTTTTAATTTACATATAAAAGGTTCATTACTCTAGAGAATCATTGTTTGTTTACTCAATTTTCGTTCAATTTGTTCTCATCAAAAATGTCATATTTCAATCAGCCGTTGGGAATTTATCATATTTGTAAACAATCAAGGTTTAGATTTGTCAACAGACACAGAGTCAGAGTCTAGTGATGTATTAATATTTCTGGGTCAATTACCAATTAAATTACAACATTTTTGATGAGTTTTCTTTATTTTAGAATTTTCTAGAAGTCTTATTTTTAAATCCCATTTCTGTCTAGCTATTTTAAATTGTTTTTTATTACATTTTTATTCGATCAACTTAATCCAATTGAATTTTTAAACAAAATTATCAACAGGATAAAATTTAATAAGAATTGGTAGTTAAATAATAATAATTGAGTCTATAATTAAAGAATAATAATATTTGATAAAGAAATGCTAAGTTTTTACTAAGGAATTAGGTTTTGAGAGATTTCGATTAACTTAAGTCATTTTTGAATTTTTTAAAAAGATTCTGATTTAAAATTTTTTGATTATTTATTTAAAAATTGATTATATTCATCAACAATTTAATTCAAACTTAACTTTTGAAATAAAATTAATTTAAAGCGCCAAAAATGACAAAAGTTCCAACATGGATCTGTTTAGACTAATCTACAAAATCGAGTGGAACACTTGACATGATGTTTACTAAAATACAAGACCTAAGGACGACTAATGACACTAGCCCGAATAGCACAAGTCAAAATCAGGCACCAAGCTAACGTAACTCTAGAATGGTGCTGAATTCGATTTAAGTTCTGCACCTCGCTAGAGTCACGCTAGATTGGTACCTGATTTCTATTCGATTAACCGACTTGTACTATTCGGACTAATGTCATTAGTCGTCCTTACATACGTCTAATAATTTATTAAACATCATGTCAAGTGTTTCACTCGGGAATTCTTAAAACAGTCCATAGTGAACCTACAACGAGGATAATAAAAGAACTGTAGAAAAACCTTGACAGATCCAAGTTAAAACTATTGACAATTGTGTCGCTCTAAAATCCCATCGAAATCTCTCAAAAAATCATTCCATTTGTGATGTCAACTTAATAACTATTAAAAAGTTTTGAAATTATTTTAATGATCCACAGTCACAGATTTTTCTACCTCAATAATTGCTTTTAAATTAACAAAATGTTTTAATAAATAAATATCAAGACCTAGCAACTTAGATGGCATTAAATTATGTGTTCAGGAGTTGTTTGAATTGCATTTCATGAGACATAAATCAAATTTTGATAAATAATGTTTCTGGCAACTTTACAAACTTTCTTACTTTGTTTGATGTCTCGTGATTTTATGTCTTTAAAATTATTCTTTACCTTCAATCGGTATCAGTAGTGGAAACTTAGTTTTGCTCATGCAATTTCCAATGTTTGAACAGCATTATATTCATTTCTGAGGCTTGATGATGTGTGTTTCTTAAAAAAAGTGCTTCCTTTTCTTCATTTGCTCGTCTATATTTAAATATTCTTTTTTTGTGTGTGTGAAAAACTAAAAAGCTTTAGAATTTTTTTCACATAATTTTTCTTTTACGTTTCTATGAAATTTGTCTTTGTTACTGATGATTCAATTCGTTTAACTGATGATCATGTTCGCTCAGATGATGTGTGATAAGATTGTTTACTTGATTTGTTCCTATCAGTTCTGATAAATCTTGTCTCCTCGTCATCATGAAAGTCTTCATCATCCTCATCACATTGTGTTATATTTACATCATCAAGCATATCTTCGTAGTGGGATGAGTTTTCTTGATCTTCATGTTCTGGAATACACAATTTTGTATTTCTTGATTCTAATTTTAAAGGCTTCATGTGTTCTTGATCATTTAGTTTGTCATATCGGATGCCAGTAAATGAATTTTTATGATTTCTTCTCTGTTAAAATTAATTAAAAAATATTATTTGATTATTATATAATTTAATTAAAGATAAAGCTTTAAGATTCATGAAATTTGACGATTGATTAGCTACAAAAGTTTCTTTAAACATTTCTTCAGTTCTTTGAACACAAAACCAATACTAAAGTCCATTATCTTGCGGAAGAGCAGTCAAACAAAAAAGAAATAAAAAATATACCAAAAAAAGGGTCAGTTGTGTACTTAGTACCGCTTTTGAATAAATAAACGCAAAAGGGAATCTTTTTTTTCCCTAAAATTTTTATTTCTTCTTTGTCTTAAATAAATGATGATACTGACAATGAGATGGTGTCGAATTGCTTTTACTCCCCATGGCAATTCTCAGCATTTCTCTTATTTATTTTTAGATTTTTTTCCCTTTATTTTCCAATGTGAATAGTCACATCCCGAAGGAAATTTAAGACTTCTTTAAAGGTTGATTTTAGAATCAAATTTACAAATTGATTTTTTTGTTCAATGGACACTCCAACATTAAACCTTCGAAATAAGTTTTAAGGAAATTTCATAAACATTTCAATAGCCTGTGGCTCATGCTCAACCCATTAAAATACACAAGAAAAACAAAAGAGATAACTCAATATCTTCATCTTAGTTAGATCTGTATGATTTTTAGACCTTTTTGCCTTCTTCTTCTTTTCTTTGTCTTCCTTCAAAAAAAGGAATCATAAGAGAATTGAAATCTCAACATTGGAGAAGGATCTGGTGCTCAATTTCTGACATCTCAGTTTGTCACTTTTTTCATCAATATTTTTAAGATGTAAGGAGTTGTTCAATTATGTTGTCTGACTTGTATGAAAGAAGGTTTTGTTTAAAATGTGGAACAATTTGTTAAGGATTTTAAGAATGTGTCCAAATTGAAGGCTCAGTGAACCGGTTTCTAGGGCTACCTGGGACATTATACTCTAGTCTCAGATAGTCTTTATTAAAGCCTTATTTGGGAGGACATTGAATTTCACTCCTTCCCTGAGTTGCCCTGAGTAGCCCTCCAAACCAGTCCGAGAGCTACTTCACTGATTTCCATACAGAAAAAATTCAAAAAAAAATAAGGATTTTAGAATTCTATTTTTAATTGACGTCATTTATGAACGATGCTTTAGTTTATACAAAGAAAACTCCAGACAACCCATCTCTGTCTTAATATTGGACATCATAAGTGAACAACCTCTGAAGAAATTGACACTTTATCATATTTTGATGATTTTGTTCTTGTCTATGACTTGATATTTTCATTTATACATAAGCTGTCCAACTGTGCACCTTGAGCTGGACAGTCTCGTTTTTTTGAACAAATCCCGCCGAAAATCCCAAATCTTCCGCTTTTTGAACCAATATTTCTTTGTCACGTCCCTCTTTTTCGCTATTTATAATAATATAAACTGCCTATTTATACACGAATAAGAGCAATACTTTCTCAATAATAAATCCTATTTAAAAAGCAAAGCTTAAACTCCTTTTTTAAAGACATTCATCAAAATCGAGTTGAACATAAGGGGCTGTTCACTTATTACGTAACGCGAAAAAATGACTTCTTAGACCCCCCCCCCCCCCCCACCCTCGTAACAAAATTTGTATGAAAAAAAAATTTCCTTGTTTGAACCGTAACAAAATCTTAGACCCCCCCCCCTCCCCCTAAAAGCGTTACGTAATAAGTTAATGGCCCCTAAATAAATCAGATCAACAAATACTTTCAGGTTTTAAGAGACCTTCACTCAATCTTCTTTAAAACATTTCATTATGTAAATTAAGTGCAATTTAAGCATCACTGTCGACATTAGTAAATAATTTTACAAAAGGTAACTTTTCATCCTCTCTTCATTTGGGACTTTTTCACAAAATGTCGAGTTGTCGAAAAATATGCTGAAAATTTGAATTGTGAGCGAATGAATGAGGAGGAAAATTGAGCCTCTGGGAATTTCTCGTTTGCTTTCGCATTTGCTCTTTAATGTGAAGATATAAAATTCAAAAATTTAATTCTTTTTAAAGCATTGAACGAGGATAGCGGAATTCCAAGAATTTTTTTTTAAATATTAAATCTAGTCACAAAAGCACCACTAAAATTTTTCGAGTCTTTTATAATTAATCAACGACAGAGATGCCACAATAAACGCAAAAAGAAGAATATGAAATGAAGTAGAATGTCAAAGTTCAAGAAATACAAATAACAACTATAAGTGGGAGGAAATGAGAGAGCGCTGAAGTGGCCATGATTTTAAGTGGCGAATAATTTTCTCAACAGATACGTCAAGTTGAAGTTACTCGAATGGGAGGAGAAAATGTGATAAGAAGTAAGAACAATACGACAACATCAGCAGCAATTATTGTTGCGTTCACTTTGCTGTCTCGGCATGTGTGAACTGTTACTTTAGCTTTTTTTGTAGCTTATAATATTGTTTGATTTGACGAAGCCTAAGATGCACAATATAGACACCAGAGCACCTCGAAATTACCGAATTAAAGTTTTATCATCAAAAATACGTAATGACATCCCAGCAAGTTGTTTCACAGAACCCATTATCACCAAACATTTCTTTTATTCCTCAAAATAATATCAGAATCGATGTAAATGCGTTAGAAATAGCGTAAGCGATATAAAAATTGTACATTGAATGTGGATTGATTGTCGTATGTGTACCGAATGAAAATACATCTGTTTACAGCCTGTTATAACACATAACGATAGAACGGATGAATGAATGAATGAGCGGGTATTAAGAATGGAGAGAATGAGAGAAATCTTACGATATCTGCAAACGCTTTACGACGACACTTCACAAAATAAAATTGTTATTTTCCATTTTCTTCTTCCTTTCATCAACCATTTTCATTCCTTTTTTTTCACCAATGAATCTTTCAACCATTTTTTGTTTCGCCTTACTTTACTGCTTATTGTTTTTATAGATCCGACATTCGATGAATACTTACAATGTTTAAGACATAAAAGGAATTGAAATGGAAAATAAACACTTCTAGTGTGTGTGCATTTCCTTTTCTTTTCTACATCATATAGTGTGTGCGACCATTTAGATGAAACATTACAAATAGCCAGGCTGTGAAAATAGGCGATTTACGGCCAAATGAATCCGAACACCCCCAAATACCCAAACCCCCTTTAAACCCCCAAATGCCGACACTTTATATGAAATATCACCAAATACCGCCTAGTTTCCGAGCCTGGACAAATAGCACTATCGTGGACAAGGGTAAGGAACTGAAGAATTACATTTTGATCATTTTTGATCAATTTCGATCTTTTTTGATATTTTTTGATCATTTTTGATCATTTCATCAGTACCACACCCTTGATCGTGGAAGGATGAAAAAAGGAAATTTTTGTGGACTTTAAGAAAATATTCTTCAAGCAACATACTGTTGGGATAGAAGCGCAGCTATGAGAGCCTTAGGTGCCTCTTTCGTATTAGATGAAATCTACAGAGTTTAAATTTAAAGGTTCTTTATTTTTTTAAGTAAATTAGGCACCTACCACCATCCTCCCCCTGCTCCTTCTTAAAAAATTCACTTGCATTCACGAATGACGTCTATAGAGGGTTGGACAAAAGGCACAACAAATAAAATTTCGTACGCCGTAAATTCTTTAAAAAATGACAAAAGCTTGAGAGGACAATTTCCGTTTATGTGAAAAATTTGTAACGCATCGATAACTTGTAGAAATATTTTGCCATTTCCAATTGTGTGAATGATTCATGTATGGAAATAGTAAATTTTATAGTAAGGCACAAAGGACATAAAATATTGTAAAGGATAAAGATTTATGATAAGAAATTACAACAACAATAAATGAAATGAATGGTAAAAGGAAGGAAACTATTGAGATAAATTTTTTGTGCTCTTTCTCACTTTTTTTTATTGCCGTACTGTAAAAAATATTCTTTCCGAAAAAAGATACAAAAAAATAAAATATAAAATAAAAGTGAAATGAGCTTATTTTAATGCTTGAAGCTTAACACGCTATAGAGGATATAATTAATAATTGAAAGGGTTTTTGGGGGTTATAAATGTAGAGCAATGAAATTAAAATTTATGACAATTTTCTCTACGTTTTGTATGTGCGAAAAAAGTGAAATTAAGAATTATGTTTGGGAAAGTAAAGGCTAGAGATGTATGATAAAAAGAAATTATGTGAATATTTTGAAGTTTTGAACAATAAAAAATCTAAATGCTCATTAAAATTTATTAAAATGAGCCCATTGGGGGGGGGGGGGGGGTTGATTTGGTCCGAAAATAATTTTTCAGTGAAAACAAGTTCCGAAGTTGTCATGACTCAATTCTTCCAGATATTAACCACAACTAACAGTTTCCTTTTCGAATCCCTCCTTCCAAGTAATAAAAAAAAAAAAAAAAAAAAAAAAAAAAAAAAAAAAAAAAAAAAAAAAAAAAAAAAAACCTTTACCTATTCAGATCAATTGTGATCCAGAGGTGCGCTAGGGCGATTCGCAGCTAATGAGAGTTTAACGAGTGAGGATGCGCCAAACCACTGCACTCAAACCTAGACCTACAATTTATAGTGGGATCCGAACCACTCCTTTGATGACATTTCTGTCTGTAGCCTACAAAGGAAGGCTGTGAGCCTCATTTCCAGTACATATGATTCGAAAAAGAACAAGTGAAAAATTTCCCATACCCAGTCTCGAACCCATGATCGCTGTGTCGGTATTGCAATAATTAGGCACCGAAGTACTAAACCATTCCGCCACCGAGCCACTTCAGCTCACTTTCCAAGTAATAAGGGTTATAATGGGTAAAGTAGAGGATATTGGATATTGATATTTGGATATAAAAAGGATTTGGACAAACAATTTTCCGTCCGTCCATTTTCATTTCCTCCTTACTCTCTAAATCGCTCTGTTTGTGTTCTCTATGTCCTCGTACAATGTACTTATGGAATATACAAAAAGCACCTATTGAGCTCTTATAGAATGTAAGATAGATAAATTGAAAATCCAATGAGCGTATCACAAACAAACTATACATGTTTGTGGATGGGCCATTTTCCCCATTCTCTTATGCTAGTTTCCCATCATCATCATCATTCCATTTTCTACCGGATGACGACGTGCAAATAGTGCAAAAAATTGAAATTGGAAAACAAACTACTGTCCATCATGCTCCATTAACCCTCCTACTTCTTCTCAACTATGTTCTCGGTTCTTCCTTTATCAGCATACGTGGACATTTATATAGAGACATTTTTATTTTTATGGATATGTGTGCAATGTGGTATTTAAAAGACTATTGCACTTATTTATTTATTTATAAAATCTACGCTAAGTTAAATGCTTATAGTTTAGAATTAGGGGTGTAGCCAGGGTCGGTTTTGGGGATCGAACACAACAAACTTTTCCCGTCCACACAAAAAAATTCAAAAGAAGAAGGGGGGGGGGGCATAAGCCTCTACTTAATGCCTTTACAAATGTTGTAAGCTTAGAAAGATAGTGCACGTAATTATTGGATAGTCCGCGGATCTCCATTATAATTTATAGCTGGCATTACTATTTTTTTTAATTCAATACGTCGAATGTCATGATCTAGAAAACTAATACATATCATCCATCCTCTGCATTAAGACTCACCTGTAGAACAGTAAAGATGGTAACAAACATGATAACAATAACAGAGCAAATTGCCACCGCAACAACTCCAACAAATGTCACTGGTGATTTAATTTGATCCATCGTACTTGCACTATCGGCCGTGGTCATTAAACCACCACCATCGATGAGAGCAGCATCGTTGCTATTGCTGTTAAATAAATTTCCCTCATCCGTCAGTTGTGATAATTGTTTTTCAGCGGCAATGCGACGCTTTCCAGCAGGTGATGAATTTATGCAATCACCTGTAGTTGTGATGAAAAAAAGAAAGAGAAAGAGGCGAGATTTATAAAAAGTTTTATGGAAGTTCAATAAATCAATTGATTAATGGATGCAGTAAACATTTTAAATACTTGAAATGGTAGCTACAACACATGTCAATGGAATGTGGAAAAAAACTTTTTTTTATTGTGCTCGGGAAAGTCATAAGAATTTGTATTGTAAGCTATAAAACTTTGTGAGCTCATCTTACAAATAGCTTACATTACATTAAAGTATACAGTTGCGTAGTAAGAGGAAGATGCTGATAATCTCGACTAATAGCGACCCTTAATTCCATAGACGATGGTTTGAATTTTCTAAAACGTCCCCAAGCAACAAAAACCTATGCTGCGTCCCTGGAAACTTTAAGTTTTGATTCACATATTGAAAAACTTTTTTGAAATTCAAGAACACTTGAATCAAAAAGCTTAATTTAGAGCGAACATTGTGTGGAAATTCTAAAATTCAGGATAAAAGAGTTGAAGTTTCTGTCACAAATCTTTCACATTGTTTGTTTCATGTTTCTGATTTTATCGCCAATGGCAACGAGTAAGGGTGCAGAGCAACAAAAAATCATGAAAATTGAAAAGTGAAAAATTCATCACATTTTGTGTTGCATACATGCCATAGCTGTATTTAAGCACACAACTACGTATGTGTAGATTTATGTCACACATGAAAAAAAAATCCGGTCTGAGATGCCAAGATTATTTTTCAAAAACAGCGCAAATTTTTACCCTCCCTAACATCTACAATGTTACAAAATATTCTAGTGCTTCTGCTTCTGCTGTTTCAATATCTCGCGTGGTTTCTCAAAATGAAAAATGGGTTACAGAAAATCTGGTGACAATGTGATGAAAAACTCTGAAATTTTCCTTCTTCTCCTTCTATTTCCATTACCCTTCATGTTATACTGTATGCTGATTTTTATTGTCGTTGTTGCTGTTTTTCTATGTGGTCTGAAATTTTATTTATCTTTAGCTATACACATACATGCTAACAGTACATATGTGAAATTGAACACTTATTTCTTATGTCAGAAGTAGTCAAACTGAAGATTGTGGGCGGAAAAGCTTTTCATACACGACTGCTTGTCTCCCTTGGAAAAACTATTTTCTCATTTTTGGAATATTAAAATCAATTTTTAGCTCTTATGAAATAATTCAATGATTTAAATCCAGCACCATGCCAGAGACACTTTGGGTTGGTGTTGGATTTCTGATTGATTACCCGACTTGTGCTATGGATGACAATCAGGACCAGCTTAGCCTCAATTTTTATTCAGACCTTTAAGGATTGATCGTTAAATTGTTGATTTTTGAGGTAGCATTCCTTGGGTTACCCCAGAAATGTACCTCCAGAATATATTTTATTAATACTGCTGTTTAGCTGCATATACAGCTTCTATTACTCTTCTCATCAGAGGCAATGTAATGTGTACAATTTTGATGCTTCGGTACCACAATTGCCTTTAGGTTAAATTGATATCCTGCCATTTATTTTCCTCGTTTTCAACAAAAAAAAAAATTTTTTTTAAACACCATATTCGACATGTAAAGGAACTAAGGCAAGCATCATCAGCAGGAGTTTCATGTTTCTCACCACTTTTCCACTTTTTGTGTTTTGTAAAATGCGATGAAATAAGAAAAGAAAGAGAAAAAAAAATATTTTTCATGATGATGTGATGATGTGAATGTGGAAGGAAGAAGTGGTTCAAGCATAAAAGGTGTCTATGTAAATTTTTGCATTGGTATATGTATGAGTGAAATATGAATTGAATGAGGAAAAACTTCCTGCCACATCATCTATTATTGTCGAATTTATTTTCATTTCGATTTTATGTAAATTTTTTTTTCTTTTTCTTTTTTTTTTGAATAAATTTAAAGCAGTACAAGGAAATATTGTAGGTGTAAAGCGTGTGGGGCGGAATGAATTGGAAAAATTTCTGTAAATTATTTTAAAAAAATTGAGGCTAGAATGAATGATTTTTGAAAACGTAGATGTAATAAATTAACGAGAACAAATTGACTGACTGATTGCTCTGAAGATGCTGACCCCTTTGGCATGATTTTTTATTGACCTTATACTTTTTGGTTCAATTTATAGAGCTTTGTAAAGGCGTCATTTAATTGTGACGTCCATCTGAAAATGGGATTTTATGCACATTCTTGTCTTACTGACTTACTTCGCTAGCCGTACAGATTAATTGTGATCAATGATCTCCCTTAGATGGTGCCTGAAGCTGGCTCTATCGCTATCTACCGTTTTCAAATTACCCATACCAAATGCAATACTGTCTCTGTCAACTTCTTTCCAAGAGTTCTTGGGACGCCTGTTTCATTCAAATCACAGTGGGACACAAATTTTCAAATTAATAGGACAAATTTGCGAATGCATCGATGGACCTCCTTGTGCCTTAGCCAAGGAAGTAAGTAAGTGAGTAATGGGACAAATTTGATCAGTTTCACACTCCTAGGAGTTGGGCGATCTTGTTTGTTTCTACTTTCAAACATTTTCCAATGATAATCATCCCCCTAGTTCCCCTTCCCTTTAAGAAATTTCATTTATGCCATAATATCCCCTAAATGATGGACATCATAACTAAATGACCCCCAAAAATTGTTGAAATTTTAATGAAAACCTGTTACACATGCTAAGCTCCCTTTTCCTATTCCAACAACATCCACATATACTTTATTCAACTCAGGTAATAAGAACGTTACACTTGATTTCATTTAATAATCCTCAATCAGCTATCAACATCCTACAATAATTACACAAAATGAACGTCTGATAGTCAATTTTTGAGTTTGTGAAATTTAACCCCATGACTGATTTCAATTCATCCTTTCCTTTTTCCTGCCATCCGGCATTAAATTTTTCCATTTCAATAAGTTTCAATTAGACCAGAAAACTTTAAGAATCAATCGATGTCAAATTCAATTATTTCTCATTCCTTCCTCATCCCTTTCCTAGTCTTCATTATTATTCAACGATAAGAAAAATTTCTTTATCAAGAGAAACTTCGGAAGACATGTATCAATAGCAAAAATTAAGGAAGCGAGATAAAAAAAAAAGTTTCTCATAAGAATTTTTCTGCTGCCTTAGCATCATCAACTAGGTAAGGTTAATGCTTGATGTTTTTTTTTTCTTCAATTTTAAGGCATTAAAAAGTTTATTGAACTTGGAATGTCTTTGTAAGGGGCCGTTTACTTATTACGTTACGCAAAAAAACTGACTTTTTTCACCCCCCCCCCTTGTTACAATATGTTACAACTCACAACCCCCCCCCCCCCCCCTCATAATTTATTTTTGGTATGAATTTGTAAACAAATTTTTTTCGTGAACTTTTTTTTTAAAAGACAGACGACAGTTAGAGCGTTACATACTAAGTGAACGTCCCCTAAGGTAAATAACACATTTCTACAAATTCAATATATTTTTTTTAATCAATTATTAAAATTGAAAATTGGCTCGTGAGCAGAATTTCAAATTCGATTAGGTTGAACAAACATTAAAACTAGATGTAAGATAATCATTTGAAAGGTTTTTTTAAGAGCAAACAATAGAGCCCGAGCAGCATAAATGGATAAGCCTTATATAAGACTCCAATCATGGTTGCTGCAAGACTTGGTTATAAGGGACTCAGCTCAAGCGCGTAGCCAGAGGTGGGGGGGGACTTTGGGGACAAATCCCCCTTCGTCTTGAGAAATTTCTTCATTTTGCTAGAGTTTTTATGACCCCCCCCCCCCCCCTTAAAGTTTTCCATACAAAAAAAATTTCCCCCCCCCCCCCCCTTCAAAAACTTGGCTACGCCCCTGAATCAGCTATATGCCTCCAACCACTTGTGTCGCTTATGTCGCTCGGGAAGCTCAGCCATCAAAATGTTTTGTTCCCTTCTGTTCCTTTTAATTGTGAAGATTCAAACAAATCTTTCGCTGTCAAACTTTAACTATGAAAAATGTGTCTCAAACAAAAGCTGCAAAAAAGGAAGACGAAGAAAATTCTCTTTAACTTTGCTTCCTTTCGTTTCTTTTCATCGCATTTCAACTATTATTATTTTTTTTTTATTTCTTAAATAGTACATGATGATGACGACGATAACTAAGGCAACTGCTGTTTGTTGTGAGAAAAACAGCATCAGCAACAACAATTCAGCAGTCAAAAGAGAGAAAATGAAAAAAAAAGAGAGGAAAAGTTTTTTTTTTCAAATCCCCTAAAAACGACAATAAATTTTCATTTTAATGGTAAAGCCATGACAATTTGTGGAGTGAGTAAGTGGAAGATAAAAGCAATGAATCTAAAAGCAAAAATATCGTCGGCATGTCGTGTGTTTATTTATCCTCTGTTGCAAGCAAAAAAAGAATTTTTCTTCCACTTTTCTCTATATTTTAAATAACAAAAGTTGAGAATGGCAAGGCAAAAGTTTTCGGTACAGCAAATAATCATAAATCTTTTAATTTTTTTCTTTCCTCGTTCCTCAAAAAAACAAAAAAAAATAATTTCTTTCCACGTGAAAAAGACATTAAGGAACATTTCAAGCACACTATTCGTTTACATCCATATCCAACATACCTGTATCCTTATCACAATGACAACAGCTTTGGTCTTCTGGCGTTGCATCTGTTGCACAGCAAGGCACACATTGGTTATTTAAGCGATCTAAATGCAATGGAAATGCACACGTGACACAACTATATTGTCCTGGTCCACTACATGACCGACACGATTCGTGGCATGTTTTGCATGTTTGTGTTAATGAGTCATAATATTGCATGCTCAGACATTCTGTACATAGTCCACCTTCGAGCATATAATGTGTTGGACATGCTGTACATGAGAGTGGTCCAGCTCCTGAGAGAGAAAGTCATGAAAAATAAATAAAGGATATACAAAATTGTTTAATAACATGTCATGGCCAACAACTTACCATTACAAGTTTTACAATAGTGATGACACTTTTGACACCCAAATTCAGTCTTGAAAAAGCCCTCAGGACATTCAGGATGACATTCTCCAGCTGCTAACTTCCATCCATTTGGACATCTCACACACTGATCTCTTCGAGGACCACTGCATGTGTCACAACTCAAATAACATTTCACACATGTCCCACGATCACTGTAATAGCTTTAAACGAAAAAATTAATTGAAATTTTTTTTTGGTGTTTGGTTCATTTCATGACAGCGAGTATTCTTACCCGTCAGCGCACGTTGCTCGACATTCACCACTTTGCAATTGTAGTCCCTTAACGCATTCCGTGCAATTCATACGCGATACGCATTGCGTACAGGTGTGCAAACACATTGTACACACGCCAGCTTCCATAAAGTAACCTTTATCGCACGTGCTTACACATTTATTATTCTGTAATAGTAGATTGTTGGAGCATGTGAGGCAATCATTTTCCGTTGGACCCATACATGTCTCGCATGTTGAATGACATGAACGGCAATGACCATTGTCATAATACTCAGCTGTAAGAATAGAAGAAAAAAAACATCATTTTTTTGTGAGCTGGTAAAATTCGCTCCCCTCACTTATCTTTTTTTTTGTTGTGAAAATGAATGTTTGGAGAAGCATTAAAATAAATTTATATTATGGAGAGTCATAGAAAGGAGGAAAAAAAAGTAAGAAGGAAAGGACACAAAAAAACATATTCGAAGCACATTTTGTTCATATAAATACGTTATATATAAATTTCTTCATGATGGGAGGATCATAATAAAACATTCATGATGGTTTTGTGCTTTTTCACATCAACAGATACACAAAATGGAAACAAGAGATGGAAAATAAAAGAAAGAAGGCTTCCAAAAGATCTTGAAATAAATAAATAAATATAAAAATGTTCTCATCTTAAAAATTTTTTTGCTTCTTCTGTTCGCTCCATAAACCTCTTATATAAAGTGACCTTCCTTCCTTTTTTGATAAACTTCTATCCCTGCCTACATAAGAGCACCTTTTTAAAAAAAATGATTGCTAGTCTTTCTGTTGTTGAATGGCAGAAAATTAAAACTAAATTTCAAAAATATTTTTTTCTGAATTTTATCAAGCACAAGCTTTAAGGGGCTGTTTATTTATTCTTTTCCAAAAATGTCTATTTAGACCAGTGGTTCTCAAGCTGTGTGCTGCGGTACACTAGTGTGTCATGAAAAAATTCCAGGTGTGCTTAGAAAAATTTTATGTATGAAGATGTGCCATGGACTAATAAAGTTTGAGAAACACTGACTCCCTATCTTTTAAAAAAATTTGTTTAAATTTAGCAAACTTGAAGAATCTCCCGCTTCTCTCATCTGTAAAAAGCAAATAATCTCCAGTTACTAATGTCAAAAATGCGCTTTGTGCCTTAACAAAAATACTTTAACTTAAAAAAAATAAAATTCATAGGTTCTATCGACAATCTATACAAAATATAGAAATAAAACCTTTCTATTCTAAATTCATGCTATTAAGACGTATATTCTTTGCACATATGGTCGACTAGTTTTCGATAGAAAATATTTTTTTGGGTAAATGTATGCGCCCTTACAAGATTTAGTACTTTCAACCTCAAATTAGCTGCAGATAAATTTTTAAAAAAGGTCTGAATGATTTCGACTGTAAAATCTATAATGATGAATATTGATAAGGGGTCGTTCACTTATGACGTCCGATATTTAGGGGGGAGGGGGGTCTATGATTTTGTGACAGCTAAAACAAATGATTTTTTTTCATATAAATTTTGTGACTTTGGGATATAAAAATCATGTTTTTTGACAAACGTCATAAGTGAACGACCCCTAATGGGAGTTGTTCATAAATTGGAAAACTATCATGGGAGTTAAGAGACTGAGACACATTAACATGAAAGGAATTTTTTTTCCTAGCTGAGGGACGAAAGTGTCTTAAAATCGCATGGATGTCATTTATGAATGACCCTTTAGCAAAGCATAATTAAAAAGGATTAACGATTTTTTTAACCGAAATATATAAAAAAAATGTGAAACAATTAAAAAATCTATACCTTCAAAATAATAGCTGTATTTGTATACGAGTTTTATTTCAACAATTTATTGTGGAAGCTCCAATGAAAGAACTTTTTTTTACTGTGTGAAATAAAAAATGTATGTTAAGCCTTTTTAGTTTACACAGTTGGACAACATGAAATGTACGAATTGTGCCTGTTTTTTTGTTGATATATCCATGTATGTGGAATAAACAATGACACGACAAATGGGAAGGAGGAATCATTTGTATAAAAATTTAAATTCTTCTTTCATTCTGTCATTTTATATCGGTAGACAGCATTAAGAGTAAAAACTAGTTTAAAATTTTAATGAATTGAGGAGATTGAAGCTTTGTTCACAATTTTGTTTATTCATGAAATTGAACTAATGAAATTAAAAAAATCTGTCTGCAACATTTTAATGTAATTCGTTACTAGAAGTGGATATAAACTGATTGAAATTCATTTAATTTGAATATTAAAGATATTGATGAGTCTGAATGAAGGTTTTAAATTAATTGTATTAAAAAAATAATTTTTTTATTTTATAAAGACATTATCTCAATTAACTGATTGCCAATGGATCTGGTTCTTAAAGTATAAAGCGATCCTTTTCAGAGCAAAAATGGAAAAAAAAAATTCAAACCCAGTTTAAATCCAGCGAATATAATGAAATTAAATTCTTTTTGCTAATTAAAATTTTTCTTCTTCTGTCTTGTCACATTTTCCATTAACTTTTCGTCCTCATTTCGTTCTATCCCTCCAGTTCCACAATCTCATTAAGTGCAACACATGAAAAATCTTTCGTACATATAATTTCACAAGTGAATGAGCTCACTTAAATAATTTACACAATTCGGACATGAAAAATTTGTTTGCGGACAATGTACAATCAGAGATATATAGACTGCTGTTAATTTTGAAGCAAGAAGCACAGGGTTGGCAAAGAAAAGTCTTAAATGGATATGGCAATTAATTATAAGTAAAAGTGGAATTTATTGTGCACATGATTTTAGTCAACATGACTTCACAAATGACATGCATCAATAATTTGGATTTTAACCCCCCCCCCCCCTCCCTCCACTTCCAAAAAAACAATTATTTTGTAAAATTTACCAAATACCAGAGCTCGAAGTCGACTCCAGCATACAAAATCGATGAAAATCTTGAGACGACTTTGAGTTCTCCTAAGTATTTTGAGCTATCATAAAACCTCTGACCCCCTGCCCCACCCCCTCATTCATCCTCCTGAACTAATGGACTTAAAAGTAATTAAGTACATCATTTAGCAACTGTGTGCCATTAATCAATTAGCGCTACCATTCGCATTAATGAAATGTAAATATCATCTTTTTTAAAAGTCACCCGAATAATTTAAACTGCCTGGTCAGATAATAAAACTAAAAAAAGTCTCTGTCTGAAAAGCCAATAATCGAAAAAGGACAAAGACTTGCCATGTAGTTTACGTAATTATGAGCCAAAAAGCTTACAAAAAATAACAATAACAATAATATTAATGAAAAAAAGAGAGTAAAAAAATGTCAGAAGTGGTGCGAGGCATTTTCATTATTGTCATGAAATATTATGTATGTTTATAGGAGACATTCACTTTTGATGTCCATTCTTTATAGCAGAAGATCTCGACACTTTAAACAAAATTATTTTCAGCATGAAATTTGTGTGACAAGAGAGTCTCATTTTTCAATTGACGTCATAACCAAACAACCCCCAAAGGGAATGGAAAGTTGTGTATATGTGTGCTGTGGCAACTTGTTAGTATAAACCAACAATAACACTAAAGTACATTCATTATAAAAATTATTGTACGACAATGAGAATTAAATTTACGATATGAGAGAAGTTACGGAAGTTTGTGGATACAAAAAAAAATTAATATCATAAAAAGTTGCTGAAGCAGTTTTTAGAGATAAATTTTTTATACCAAAAATTGTGGACGTGGAATTTTTAATAAAACTGAAGATTTTCTAAATTCAATTAATTTTTTGATGGTTGAAAAATTAATTAAAAATATTTTAAATGCTAATTTGTAGTGAATTTTAATGCTTCTACCTAATTTTTAAGTACAACAAGAAGTTATGGATTTTACTCACATTCATCGCAGTTATTGCTTCCTTTCGTCACACATTTGTCTTTCTTATTTTTCACCCAATCGGTCTTGCATGTCAAACACTTATCGTTGCTACAGGTGGCACATCCAAATGGACACTGTGTGTATTTAAGGATGAATAGAAATTTTATTGTCATTTATTAAATTTCCTTCCTAAAGGAATCAAGTAATTTTACTTACCGGAAGGCACTCTTTCCTCTTTTTATCGCCATAAAATCCATCAGGACATGACGTAAGGCATTTTCCTTCCAATGAGAATCGATTTGGTTTACATTGAATGCACTGTGACTCTGATGAACCGTTACATGAAGCGCACGACGCGTGACAGTCTGCACAGCTAGAAAATATTAACAAAAATTCAAAAATTATTCAGCACATCTTCTTCATTAATACATTTAAAAGCATAAACAGTCTTTTAAAAAATCTTAAGGATGGCTGTTGTCTATTTTATAAATGAATCTGACATTCATTCACTCATGCATGTAAATTTCATCGTCATTTGTTATGGTTTTTGGTCCCATACTCTCAATTTCTCATGTCCTCTTATGAGCTGTGAAAGGACATTTAAAGCATGAGCTACTGCTGCTCGAGACAGAAAAATGGCTATAAACGATACACTTAATACGAAATTTACGATTATTAAACACGACGCTTTGAGAATGGTCATTTTTCACGTAAAATGGGTCAATGGGCAAAAGAAAAGACGAAGAAAGAGACGAAGTTAGGCGGCAAGCTGGCTACTTTGGATGGATAAATAGATGGAACGTGAAAACTCAAATTCTCATACACTTAAAGATTCAAATTTATTCATTCTATTTGATGTCAAAAATAAATGATTTTGAGGCACTGATGTTTGATGATTTCCACCCCTGTTGAAGATCTTTCGATTAAAAACTGTATTTTAATCTACAAATATTCACAATCATAGATTTAAATGAATAAGGTTCAAAAACGTAACAACAGGTAAATAGAGCAGCAACTGCATTTATTCATCAAATCTCAAAGGAAATAATTTGTATGATGCAAAAACCCTCACAGTTGCTCATGGAAATGTATAAAGTAAATGGAAGAGGAAATGAAGGAAACACACATAAATTTCAATCAAATGATCCATTAACTTTTTCATTTCTTTTATTTTTCACTTTTATCCTCTATTACAGTTTATTTATGTAGAATGAACAGAATATGTTTTATGATGGTATTTTTGAGAATAGCTAAAGGTTCTTTTTAACACGTCTTGAAGTATCTCGAAAGTAGCTAAATATTTGAAAAGTTTACAGATACAGTATTTATGAGGAAACGTTAAATTCTTTGAAATTTAAATTAAATTTGTGATAATTTCAAGAGCATAGTTTGAATCCTTGTCATATATCATCAGTAAGAAAATTGTTTATATCTAGACTAGCTGCAAACTTAATATAAACTGTCTTTTCAGAAGTCTGGTGATTACTAGAGTCTAAAATAATGATTGAGAATTCTGGGAATTGAACCCACGTTCTTATAACAAAGAATAAGATTTTTTGTCGTCTGTTCAACAATTCAACCAGAGATCTTAACCTTTAAATGGCAGATTCATCTACATATGACTTAGATTCTTCTATGCTTAGAGACCACAACTTGATTGAAAAAGAATCCTCAATATGTAAATCTCAACTGACATCAATATCATCATCATAATCACTACGTACTACATACATTTATATAAACATAAATAAGTATATTACTATATATTTTTTACTTACTTGAAATCTTCCGTTTCGTACGTGTTCTTTGGACATGCAGCATAACATTTGTGCTCATGCATAACCAAGTGATGTTCACAACTTGTACAGAAATCAGGACGATCCTGGCACGAAGCACAATTTGCCTCGCACGGAACACATGTTTTATTTTCATAATCTGGAATTAAGAAAGAAAATCTTCAATTAAACGAAAAACTTTAAAAAAATTTATTTTTGAAATTAAAGTTCCAAAATTGTTGATGCTTGTTGGCATGAAAATTAGTTTCTATTTCCTATCTTTCCACATAAATGGACGAAAAGAAAGGGAAAAGTTAAACTTTCTACTTTTCTCTAAGTTACTTGGTTAAATAAACTTAGTTTGAAGTTCTTTTATTCCTTAGCTAGAGCATAAGCAGAAAGGAAGTGGAAAGGGACCTGAGCGACAAATTGATAAGAAAAATGTTTCGTAATGATGAAAAACTTTTCACTTCTTGCCTTATTTCTTCTTATTCTTCCTTTTCGATATTGTTTCTAAGTCTTTTCTTCAAAACACACTTTCATTTCATCTATTTCTCTTGTGACTTGCTTCTACTTCCTTTTTCATCGAGTTTCTACTTATTAAATGTGCATGATAGTTGAGGAAGACTTTGTCTCCCTTTTCTCATGTTTTTTTATAGGCAATGTCATGAAAAGCTACTGACTTTAGTTTACTTTTACTTAAATAAGTGAAACGTCATCTAAGGATGAAGCTGAATTTTAGGATACGAGCTTCTAAGATTAAGGTCATTGACACATCTCAAATTATTTACGCAGACTATCGAAAAGAACATCTTACCAAAAATTAAAGAACGAGAAGATGCGATGTGAAAACTTGTAATCCATAAAAAAAAAAGTTCTAATCCATAAAAAGCATACGCATTAAAAGATTCGCATCTGAAGAGATTATAACAAAATATAAATTTTACTTAACACATACAGCAACAAAAAAAAACAGCAATAATAATAAAAACAACACAATCTCATTGTAAGGAACAAAAAAAAAGTACAGTTAAGAAGTAGAAAGTGATTTGAAAGAAAACGACAGCGTAACTTTTTGGCGCGTAACATGAAAATAAATTCGTATTACCCATCTAATGGAAAATGATATTCATACAACCATCACTCATCGTTTTCATCTCTTTCTTCTTACAGTTCCTATCATATCGTTCGCATATCATCATCGTCATTGTAGTCATTCTCTTCTGCATAATTTTCCTTCATTTCTTTCTTTTCTTGTTTTTGCTTCCGTTCACATTTTTTAGGTGTATTTATAATATAAGTTATTGAGACTGTTCAAAGTAGGGATGTGATACCGGTTTTGATCCCTAGAGGTCAATTTGTATCTGAGACATCCTGTCATAGAATCCAAAATCGATGGACTGTGCAAAGATGTAGAAACAACAATTTTGAAGGAACAAGAAAGCCTGGGTATCGTGAGGAGCCATTGAAACCGGTGCCTTTTAAGACCAGCAAACCATGCCACCCACAGTAGATATTTTTAATTTGCCACACTTCTTAGCAGCTGGAGCGATAGGGGAAAGATGTGAATTTATATCTTAAACCTGTCCAAACAAAGGCCAAACTGAACTATTTTCTGTTCCCATTTTCATGTCAAAATAAGTTCAAGAAAATACTTTTTTTTTCTCAAGTCATCATCTACATATCATAGCTGTTGTCTCGTTCAATTTTTTATATTTTATTTCTCTTCCTTTACTTTATTTCTTTCTCATCTTGTTCACCCTCGAATTCACGTCGTTGAATATCAGGCAGAAGTGGTTGTATGTCATTATTTTGATTAGAATGATCGCTACTTCTTAGTATAATGCAAAGAGATGAAACATGAGGAAGTCATCCTAACTTTCTATCGTTCTTTTACATCTAATCATTTATCATTTTCATTCTTATTTTTTTTTTGCTGTTGCCTGTTCAATATGTTTGTGCTGCTCTCATTCATGTATACATTAAGACTTATTTTTAGAATATGCAAAGTAAAGTTCCGGGTCTTCCAAGGAGTCATAGATTATTATTCTTAAAAGTTGTTTGTCACTTAAAACTTTAATGCTGCTACAAAACAACCAATAAATTCATCAAAAAAAAAATCTCAATTTTGCTAGCGTCAATACATCACATGATAAATTATATTCAATTACGTTGAACATGAATTTGAAGACAAGAAAGGAAGAAATAAATTTAAGAAGAAGTAGAAGGCAGTGACAGTCTCAAATCTCTATCATTATGCCATTCTGTCATTTTGCCTCTGATGTTTGCTGTGGATCTAATCCATCATCTTATATACGCACATGTACACGCATATATTTTATGAATAATTTCTTTTTGATATGTGAATGTGTGTTGACATGGAAAAATGGATATTTTGTATGCTTCAAGTCAATGGATAATGGAAGTTGAAGAGAGGAGGAGGACAAGCGCAAATAATAAATGCCTGAACAGCCTCCTTCATTTTCTCATTATCATCATTGTTTACGAATTTCATGCCAACATCATTTGTCATGGTCTTATTTCTATTATACAACATGTAAAGTCATCAGTTGCATTTTCTTTTCATTTATACTCACTTTCAAAGTATCCATCGGGACATGTTTGTAAGCATACAGCCAAATCTGTCACATAATTGTATGATGGTGAGCAATTTAAGCATGAGTCCTGTCCAGCACCCGCACATGTTTCGCATGATTCATGACATGGCCAACAAACACCGCCTTGATTAGGGAAACTTCTTGGTGGGCATCGGCTAACACACGTACTGTGGATTATATAAAGAAATAACAATAAATTAATATTTGATAAATAAATTCACACATCAGAGAATAAAATTGAATAAACAAAGAGTGACATGATGACATGACACGAGTGTGCGTGCGAATGTGTGTGAGGTCAACATGATAGAAGAAGTGTTAATGAATGAATGATGTGTCAACTTTAAATGGAGAATAAATTGAGACAGATTTCTTCGTTTCTGGACATACTTTGGGATATCCAGAGAAGACATTTTTGTGTATTTGTGATAGAAACAGAAAAATATTGTCATTAATCACTCATGTCATGTAGATTTGTTAGATACTAAAGAATCATCTAAATCAATTAAGGTTGATAAACTTTTTTTTGTGATTTCTTGAGGATTTTCCATGTCTGCAGACACATTGTGAGGTTTTTTGAGGTTAAATGCTGCAAATTGTTTTGTAGACGAGAATGATTGGTGAGGATTAGCATAGATTAAGGTAAATATTGAAGATGATTTGGGGATTTTGTTTGAAATTCTCGTACTTTAAATTGGATTCTAATGCTTTTCAAGTTTCTAGACATTTATAATTTATGATAAATCTTCTGGAGCAGCTTTTGGTAAAAAAATTTGGATTTTTAAACAATTAAACTAAAATTGAAGATTCAGGGGTAAAGCCAAGTATGTATAGGCAGAGCGGTGGTGATTTTTTGATTACAATTATTTTTGTTTAGATGGAATAATGCAGGTTTGAAAATCCTAGCAATTTGAAGAAAATTTACTTTTAAGGAACTTTTGGCACCAAAAAGAAACTTCCAGCTCCACCCCTGTCTAGCCAAAAATGAACAGAAAACAATCACGTAACCACTATATTTATAGTCATTGTGGGAATGAAATATACTTACTTATCTAATCGATAATGCTTGCAAGCCACGCAATTTGTGGCTCCGCGACCATAACAGCCCTGCTGATCGCATTCAGGATCACAGTCATGTAATATCACTAATTTATTATTCGAATCAGCCATCACATTTTCACGCTGCGATGTTGGAATTGTACGACCGTCGAGTGTAGCGTATTTCTTATTGACATTCGAGCCAGCACTCGCAAATGAATTTTGATAATTTACGAAACCATTGAAATTATTCGAGAATGAATTTAAGTTTTCTCCCGTCGTCCATTCCCAGTCGGTGCCAAGTGGTGATGCAACTGCACGTGCACTCGTCGATTGTCCATCTGTTTTTAGACGAACTGGATTTGTTTGTGTTCCGTAGAATATAAGTTGCCATTTTGACAATACACCAGCTTGATTTACACGTCGTCTGCCACCATTAATAATCTGTAAAGTCCATCGACCTTCAGCGCGCTCACCCCAAAAGTGAACACTCATAAATGGCCAATCATCAAAGTTTGATTTTGCAACGTCACGTGGGCGTTCAAAAAGTAATGTACTAGTCGTGCCTGAAGGTGATGTCAATAATATTCGCAAATTGCCACGAGGGAAGAATCTCAGTGTTATTTTACACTGAACGTGCTCTAAAAATCGAACTTCGTTTACAGTTCCAGCGCAGCCATTAACCTGTAAAGAATATATTCGTTTAAGCTCTAAGAGATTTTTACAGTCAATAAATTGTGAGTCCATTTAAAGCAAATAACACTTTTAAAAATTAAATCAATAGATTCGAAATCCAAACTTACATCCATATGAGTCTGTAATGTGTATCCTACTGATCCTTGAATCTGTCTATCTTCGTTGATTTCACGTGATTTACAAATATGCTGAGCAGGAACCGCAATCCATTTTTCAGCCAAGTTCACCATGCCGCCAGCATCCATCAATCCGTACCCAAATTTATGGCTGATCTTTCGTTTGCTTCCATTTAATATCCATCCAGTTTCTTTTTCTAATGGTTCAGGTCTTGATGTAAGTACGACAAGATATTGCATATCACGCCATGTTAATGATGGATTAGCTTCCAACGCAAGAGCAACGATTCCAGCAGCAAGAGGAGCTGATGCAGATGTTCCTGTATGTTCTACTGTACATATTCTATCAGGTCGAAGTGCACCATCCATATCGACTGTAGCTACACTTTTATCGTGGCCCGGTGTTCCTGAACTGTATGTTGTTGCTAATGTTGATGAACATTCTTCAAGATACCATGGCTTGTAACCACCTTGTGTTGCACTTGAAATTGATAAAGTGAAAATTGAATTTGTATATCCATCACAATTACATGAATCTGTGTATCGTCCACCATTTCCAGATGCCCAAACAAATATTGAGCCTTTTCCTAGACGTCCACTAGTTACACCATAAATAAAAGCTCTTCTAGCTAAAGGACCGGGTCCATCGACTGTACTTCCATCATCTTCAGGACCCCATGAGGCACTATAAACATCAATATGATTAGGATTGAGACCTAAGGCTTTAGCCTCAACTGCATCATTGACAGTTCCATCCAACATACGAACTCCTCCAATTTTCGATTTATAAGCAACACCAACACCACAAATATCATTAAATGCTATGCCAGCAACTTCACCAGCACATCTTGTTCCATGCTTGTTATCGCCATTGTCACGTGGCATTGGATCGGAATCATTATCGTTAATATCATAAGATGCTTCTGGATCCTATACAAATTAAATTAGAAAATTTATTATTATTAAATTGATTGACACGATTGCTGAATTTTTAATAAAGAGGACTAAAAATACCCTAATTACAGGCAATGATATTTGTGTCACATAATTCTTCGTACAGATTTTTATTTGGTCTTTTTTTTAAAAAAAAAAAATATTTGGGATGTTGCTGTAAATTCACAATTCATATCTAAAGCCACAAAATATTGTCACGTTTTCTCTCTTCCACGAAGTCAAAGACTTAGATAAAATTTGTAGCTAACAAACCAAAAAAAGAAAAAAAAATGTCTACAATAAATAATAACAATGTGAAATAAGAAGGTAACGAGTCGTAAATAATTGTGTGGATCCATAAACGGGAAAAAGACATAACATCATTGAGAAAGAAATTTGTTGTGTGATAAGAAATCATGATTATTGCAGTAAATAATGGGCACACGAATGAAAATAAAAATGTGCACACACTGAAGCATAAAAATAAAAGAAAAATTATGGTAAAAGGGGAAGGCTCAATGGGCTAAAATGGAAAAGGCAACGAGAAAAGACAATAAAAATAATGCGAAAATTTTTAAGATAGAACAACAAGCGAAATAAGGTGTAATTTATGATTTTAATTTGTTGCTACAAGGGATGGCGAGTTGAAAATTTGAATGGTAAACATACTTAAACAACATGTGTATTATTCAGGTACATAGCCATAAAGGGTGAGGGTTGATTGTGATTTACATGATATTTCTTGAGTTTACGACAAAACTATGAAGTCATTATTAAATGACGTCCTTTAAAATTCTATTTTTACCCCCTTTCTTTATTTAAGACAGCAGCAGATCCTTTTTCTCTCCCATAAAAGTTAGACATCATTCATAAACGACCCCATTTAAAATTAAATTCTAAACAACTTAGTTGCACTTATATCAATTTTATTATAAAACTCTTACCGAAAAGTTAAAGAGGTGGAGCTGAATTTAATAAACCGAATAACTCAAGAAACCAAAAAAAAAGTAATAACATTTCAAGTTCATATAAGCCAGATATCGTATTGAATCCTATTAAAATGCAACGAGTGAACAAAACTTTCTATCACACAAAAGCTCATCTCGCTTTAGCAAGTTCTTAGTAGATTTTCCTCTTTCTTCTTTTCTTTACTTTTGTTGGGAAATAGCAACCAATGAATAGATTCCCGAGCGATAAAAAACAAGATATGGAATTTATATGACTGCTAAATGAAGCTTAGTATTGCATGATCTTACTAGATGTTGAAAATATAAATTTATTTAAAGTTGATCAGAATTCAAAAATCGTACTAAGTTCCCCTAAGGGGATATAAAAGAAAAATACAGTCAGCATCATCGGTATAGTAATGAAGCGAAAAGGAGAGTAAACAATGGCTATATCCATGACTGAGCCATAGCGTACGATAAATATGAATGCGAATATAAGACCAAAGTGATATAAATTATGATTAAAGGCAAACGTGATCTCCATACTCATTGAATTTTCTTCAATATCGCTCCCTCAGAAATCATTGGCTTTAATTAAAGGATTTTGCTGCATTTTTATATATTTACAAGTTTATGCTTTATCTTTAAGTCTATAAATTGATTAAAATAAAAGTTTATTAATTAAAATTTCACAATTTTGAAAATTAAAATTTCACAACATTTAATCACCAAATAGAGCAATATTCTAAGGATATTTGTTCACAGTCACAATTATGACGATGCTGTCGAATGAGTTTTAATTATTTGCAATTTTAATTAAGCAAATGTTCGCTATCGCGCGTGTGTATTTGCGGCTATGTAATGTGCACAGATTTTAAATAATTATTATTATTGTCGTGTATGTATGTGAGGCATTGAAATATGATGAATTTGCAGTATCTGGTGCTTGTTGGAATATATATTCATACATATTTTTACAATTTTCTTGCTGAGCCAATTATTTATGTTGATGATGTTGACGTTGATGATGCTGGCAATATTGCTAATTAACACTAATTGAATTACATTCACTCAGTCTCATTCATGTATGCAACTAGCTAGCTAATTATGTTTCATTTTATATTTTCTGTCGTGTTCATATGATCCACATATTATATATCATGGATATTAAAATTATTATATTTCTTATAATCCAAAAATTAGAACTAGCTCATTTAATTCTCAAGATTTGCAAAAAGGGGCATTCATAAATGATGTTTAGGTGCTGTGTATTGACAGAGGGGCAGTGAGAATACAATTTTTCGATTGACGTAATTTATGAACGACCCTAATAAAGTTTTGTACCAAAAATAGACTTAATAAACATTAATCTTGATCTTAAGAATCCAACAAAATTATCGCAACACCCAATAATTAATGTGGGTTAGTATTGGATATAATATTAAGTATCATATACATCCAGTCATAAATGAATATTATTAACAATCAAACAGGATTATCATTCGTTGTCAACATCAGTAATAATTTCGAATTAAATCAGGATAAATATTGCTATCATAAGCGAGATATGTGATAAATGATAAAGACTATATATGTGTGTTACATGATGAGGATTTATGTTTTTACTCTTCTTCTTACTCCTTACTATCTCCATGTCTGATCAGTGATGATTTATTAATAATGCAAAATGGCACGAATGTACGATTAAAACAAATTTGATGAAATGAAACTCTAGCAAAATTTCTTACAGATATTGTAGCATAAAATGTGCATTACAAGATTTTATATTGATTCAATTTGATTGATTAAATTGGTTATGGAAAATTGTGAATTTTAATGAATAATTTCTTGGATGAATGAAAATAAATTTATTCAATTAGCATTTAATTTATTTAATCAGGGGGAAAACTACTAGGTGGGAAAATAAAAATTTATGGAAACTTTTCTCATCAAGTGGTTTTCCCCTTGATCAAATCAATAATGCAATTGTTATCGAACTAGGTGCCGCGAAAAAATTCCATGCCCTTTTTTTCATGTTTTATGACTTCAAAAAGGCCATGCCGTGGACCAAGAAGTTTTATTATAATAATTAATTATGATATTAAGGTAATCATCGAGACATTTTTGACGTGAAATAATCTATCCGCATTGAGTGGTTGAATTGAATTTCTTCATTGATAGTTTCTTTTATTAAGCTATCCAAAAATAGATGAACATCTCACTTAAGCTCAACAGAAACAACAACCAGTGGAGTAGTAAGGGGGACTGAAGGCATAAAAATCACAAATTAGGGGTGGTTTGTCCTTTTGACAAAAAAATCCTTGCTACGCTCCTTACAACCAAACAGCAATGCTTAAAAATGATGAAAATCCCTCCTTTTATAATCAACACACGACAAATCCATTAGATGAAAATGAATTGAAGGAAAAACAAAGAAAATCAGTTGATGAAGTACGGAGATGGAAAGAAAATCATGCACTTATAATATATATGCAAATATAAATGAGGAGAACAAGAGAAATAGAGATAGATAGAGTATAATTTTTCCGCAAACAATTGAGATATGCTGTAGCAGGAAATAATTGTCACGATTCTGTAGATCTTGTCTGTTGTCTCAGAGAGTTTTTCATCCATTTGTTCTATAAATATGCCAAGAGATGAGAATTACTTTTGGAAAGATAGCACTCGTCATGTTTCAGGTGATCCAAAACACAGAAAGTTATAGAAACTTTGAAATTAGATGATTTTCATGTTGCTAACTTCACGTTAATGTCACAGAAATGAATCATGAAATCCTCTTTACTCATCGTGGCATTAAATTTGATGAAATTGTGTATCATAATGATGATTCTACATTTGTTTGCTGTTCATACTCATTTCACTTCACACCAGATGCGTAACAAGGAAAGTTTGTCGTCTAGGGCCAGGGGTGTAATCAGATGAAGGAGTTTAAACCTCTTAACTTATTGGAACTTCTTCAAATTTCGGATTTTTTCAGAAAAATCTAAAATACCCAGTGCAAAAACTAGCTTAAGGAAGAGGTCCTAACCAAATAAACCCCCTTTTGCTACAGCACTCAGGCGCGTAGCCAGGAGGGGATTGTCCCCCTCTAAAGCATTTTAGGTCGTGCTCTCACTGCGGTTCAAAACGTTTAAGGGGGGACAAGACCCTCCTGGCTACGCACCTGACAGCACTGCTTTAGAAGCAACCCTATTTCGTTCCTTCAGACTCCTCTCCGTTCCTTTACAATTTTCTATTTTCTAATTTCTTTTGTGTCATTGTGATATGATTTAGATCATTTGCAATTTTGTCCAGTCTAGTGTGAATGCTTTTGACATTGAATGTAAAATTAAAGAGGACAAAATCTATCTGCAAATTTTTTTCGAATCATCGAATTATCAACCATCATCTTCATAGAAGCAATATTCAGCAGTAAAAACTACTCGTACTCTAATTTGAGAACATTAAGTCAAAATCAATAGAAATCACTACAATATCCAAATCGGTTTTCTTCTTCTTTTTTGTCCTTTTTTTTACAATAGAGTATGTAGCAACACGACTCAATGATGTTCACATATTATGTCATTTGTTCATCGATGATGACGATAATCGTATATGAAAAGAGATCTCTTTCTTTAGTCATGCATATGTGGAAATAATGAGTTGTATGTGTTTATGTGATGATAGAATTAAAGGAAGAAGAAAAAAAATGTAAATGGATACACTTATGTAGAAGATATGTTTGCAGACAAAAAATGGGAAAAATATAAGAACGATGATGATGATGGATACTTTTTATGATGACAAATAATGGAAAGAAGAAAACTATTGGGGGTGTATACGAGAAAGTGATTTAATGTTCAATGCTTGAATGCATTACAAGTTTATGTATTGTTAAAGGATGATAATACCTCTACTGGGGTTGGCTTCAAGTGTTATTTGGGTACCTAACCGTAGAATTTGTGCTTTATACTTTGGTTGTGAATAAAGTTTGAATATGACTAAGATTGAGTTCCTCTAAATATGTGAAAGGCTTCCAGTAAAGCAAGGAACTGCGGTTCTGAATGACTATAAAATCTTATATAGGGTTTCCTTAGTAAAATAAGCCATTAAACAATCGATTATAGCAAGAATTAATTCAACCTTAATAAAAAAAATTGCTGGGGATACTGAGCAGCCCTAGCAACCAAACCCAGATTTTAAACTCTATACCTTATAAATCCTGAATTTCGTCTTGTGCAACATAATTTTAAAGAAATTGTGATTTAGAAGAATTCTCAAAAATTGAAATTTATGAGCTGAAAATATTTTCATTCTTTAATTTTTTGGCATCAATTTCTTCTTTATCGTCAGTTTCTTTTCTTTTTAAAGAGGTTATAAAGAAGAAGCTCTTCCATTTTATTTTGCGATAAAAAAAAAGCAAAAAGAATTTTTTATGGCAAAATAAGCAGTTAAGTGTGATGATAGAAGAAAGATTTCTACTGCTTAAATACAAAACCAAGAAAGGATTGAGTTAAACATGATGAACAGAGGAGTAGTGAAATTTGTTCATCAGGATTTTCTCTGCATTATCGATTTTATAAAGATTTTTCAGTCGACAGTGACACAAATATCATCAATAATAAATTAAAATTAAACTTACATAATTCTTATCTAAATCAGGATGGTTTCGTTGAATTCCGTCATCTAAAATTGACACAACAACTCCTTTTCCGGTGTATCCTTTCTGCCATGCTGGACCAACATTCATATCAAGTCCATCTTTGGCGCCGCCATTCTGTCACACACAATGATTTAGTGATGACGAAGATTTGTTTGAGTAAAGTTTGTCGATTTAACCATATGGCAAATTTTCATAGTCATATGAGGATGTAGAAATGTTATTTTGTGGAATAGAAAAAGAGAAAAAAAATGTTAGAGATAAATTTTAAAAATTTCAAAAAAAAATATTTTTTCTGTGAGTAGAACAAAAATGAGCGATAAGAACCAACAATAAAGTCCAAACCTATTTATCTATAATTTAAAAAAAAAATATGGTGGTCCACTAGAAATGAATAAGGAAATAACTGTCACATGTGTTGATAAAACAGGAACGGCTACTCACTTATTATCGTCATTATAATTAAATCTATTCATAAGCAGATGATAAGAAATATTGCATATCCTTATATGTACGTACAAAAGAATAATATTATCACATATTTATATATTTTCATAATTTACATTTTCCTGCTTATAAAAGACAACAAAAGGAAAATATTTTTTCGATGTTTGTAACATCAGTGAAAACATGAGACAAGCAAGGAAAACAAAAAATGACTTTCACAATGGAAGGGCAACATTTCCCATCATCTCATTCCCTGTGTTTGCATATTTTATCAGTAATGTGTATATGTTTATATGAAATTCATATTAAAAGAAGGAGAACACTGAAAGGAACAATGTGATACAACAACATAAACATGGAAGTGTAAATTTCATTCTATTGTTTACTGTCGATCCACAATCATTTAATTCGATGTCGATGCTGCTTCCCCTTGAATGTGGTTTATTAAAATCTAGTCAAATTATTTTAAAAATGGCAATTATTCATTTTTGTATTATGTAACGAAGCTAGTAAGTCAACAACTATTATAAAGCAGAGCTCAAAGTCAATTGAGGAGACTCGAGACAACTCGAGCCGACTTCAATTTTTTGACTCGAACTATCGACTTCGACTTCGAGCTCTTGTATAAAGTAAGTATCATACAAAGTTTTTCCAAGGGATGTAAAGGAATTTGAACATATATTGTGCTATGAACATAATTTTTGTATACTTATACTTTTCATCGTACGAGCTTTTTAAAGTTCCTTATTTTCCTCATATCTTTTCCTTTCAAGGAAAATGTTTATCGAAGCTCCATGCTTGAAATTATTATCATAAATTGAACACTATCAGACATTTCTTGCTTGGTTAACTTGTAAAATAGTTTCTGGTGTTAGAAAAATTATAAATAATAGTTTTATGGATTTGTAGAACTGAAAATTATAAACAATGGGACACTAAAATGAGTAGCTGAGTCTTATTATTTTTTATTGAAACGTCTTAAAAGCAAGCAGACAACTTCTAGTTGTTAAATCAACAGAAAAGAAGTTATTTCAAACAACAGAACCCGAGTAGAGACTCGAACCCGCATTCTACAATTTCTATTCACATGTTCTTGACACTGAGCTATCGAAGGACTTCTTGTCAATTTGACAGAATGCGCTTTTATCTTTCCAGTGCACTAACCGTGACTTATTGTTGACAAGGCACTACCGAAATTCTTTAATTTCGACAAATTTACATCCTTTAGATACAACACATCGTCAAAATAACACTATTTTAAAAATTGGTTTTAATTTTAGGTAAACTGCGTACCACAAATGATTTATGACTAAAAAGTACGTGTAAAGAAATTTTTCAAGGCTGTGTAATTAAAGCAGCCGCTTAATATTCCACGAGAAATATTGAAGAACAACGTTACTGTGTCTTAAGCTTTACTCATCACACCTGCTCATAATGTCATCACCAGCTCTAAATCCAAAAAAGAAATTGACATTAAAAAAAATCTCATTTCCATATGCTGTATGTTCTTCCCACACACTTTATAATGATGTTACGTAATGACATGGTAGAAGCAGCATAAAAAGAGTAATTCAAAAAATAAAAAGTCATAAAAGCAGAACAAAATCCTTCCTTAGTACTTTTTTTTTATTCATCATGCATTTCCTCACTCACTTTTCATTGCTCCTTCAAATTTCTTTTTAATCTCACACCCAACAACAACGACTCATTATGGAACGAGTATGTATGTTTGCATTACGATATATTACACATTCTCTAGCATGCTCCTTGCAGATGATTTGATTCAAGTTTCAAATTTAAGTAAGGTTTTTTTTAAAATGGGGGGGGGGGGGGGGGGGGGGGTTCGGGGGTATTGTATTTTGGTAATGGGTGACCAGAAAGTCATTCTAGGATTAATTTGTTAATGTGGAACTGATGAAAACGATCAGAAATGTTCAATAAGTGATTAAAAAGTTCGTAAAATTCAACAAAAATCTGACAATTTATCTATAAAGGCTGTCAGTTCTTTTAGCTGAATATTTAAATTTATATTCTTACTCTTTCTCCTAATCGCATGCAAATGCATTTCTCAAAAGTGTGAAAAGTTTTTAGAAAGCACTTAATGTAGATTTTGTGTCATTCTGTTTGCTGAAAGGAGACTTTTATGTTTTCTGTTGCTAGCTTAGAAAATAGAAATGATGAAAATTGAACAAAAAAAGTAAAATCAACCATAGCCAGCCCCCTCTTTTTCAAAAATTTTTGCTCTACACCTCTGAGATTAGTCTAAGACAGTGTTGTCGAAACTTTTTGCAGCCACGGCACACTTTGACTTTAGATATTTTTTCACGGGACATCGTTTGAACAACACTGGTCTAAGAGGTCTTAGAGCCCCAGAAAAATACACTTTTCTTGTCATTATAATTGATAAAAAGTACGAAATGAAAAATTAAGTGTAAAAAATTGTAACTCCTCGTAAGTGAACACTACCCCGAATAGCACAAAGGTTAATCTGATAGAAATCTGGCAACGAGCTAGCATGACTCTGGCATGGTGCTGGATTCATTTTAAATCTAGCAACATGCCAGAGTCACACCGGCTTATTGCAGGATTTCTAATCGAATAACCGACTTGTGCCTTTCGGGACCTCTTTAAGAGATATTTCAAGAACTTATAATTAAATGCCACCAAATTCATCATTTTTAATAAAAACTTAATTTTTTTACAATGTCGCGGAGAAAAAGGCAGAAAAATAAAAATGGAAAGGAAACATGTTTTTTAAAGATAGGAGAATGAAAAAGTGCTTCTGTAACTCTTGACTTATGGTTCAAATAAATAATACTGAATCTATTCTAAAATTTATTACTTTCGAATTTCTTTCTTTTTCCTCTCCATTTCCATTGTTTTCAATGAGAAAGTAAAAAATCTCGGAACAATTTTTTCCTTCTTCTTCATCTTCTGTTTTCCTTTTTTACATTCTCAACCGGCAAATGTCTGATAAAAAAAAGCATTCCTCATGAAATATGATGAAAATATTAAACAGTTTCTCTTTCCATCGTCGTACTTCTTTTTTTTTGCTTCTCAGATGTGAAAATCAGTTTTTATACGAAAAATCTCTCACCTCGAGATGAAAAAAAAAAATTCGCACAGCATGGAATATAAAACATGATAGCAAAAGGGCAATCCAGAATAGGGAAAGCAGAAAAAAAAATCAAAGTTACTTAATTCTATATTCAACTCATGTTTCATGACATAAAACTGTCTGATTTAATTTTTCTTTTCAAGGATTTAAATTTACTTGATTTTATTTACTTTTTCGCACGTTGAAGTTGAAAATTATTATTTTTAAAAATTGATAAAATTTGCATATGATTTTTTTGCTGTTCTTTTAAGTTTTGAGATCCACTCGAGTGGGAAATGACGTCTAAAAGACAAAAACTAGTGTCATCAAAGGCTGATATCTAAGGAGCAACTTACATTAGAATTGAGGATCGTTGTCATATGACTGCGGCTAGAGTGGGTTGAAAAAAGGAGGCAGGACAATAAAAAGTTGCTATGGAGTCGGTTGTCACCTAATCTAGCTCTAAATTAGCCTAATTCAACCCTAATTGCCACTAATTTTTATATTTTACTCGTCGTGTGTCATTCAGACAATCATTATAGTTCTAAGAAACATGTTGTCCTTTGACGAAGAGAAATGACTGCACCTAAATTACAAAACCTTCTGTAATTCAACTATAAAGTGGTCTCAAAAAGAGATGAAAAGATTATCAGGAAGCAAAAGAATTGCAAACAATATGGAAGCAAAGTGAATAAATAAACATAACTATGCATTCTTATGCATGCTTATCATCACAAAAAAAAAAAATTACAGCATCAGTATAAATAGAGTAAATATTTTTTGCATAACAATAGACGAAAGGAGGAAGAATGCTTGAAACACAATAATTCATAGCTGCAGCAACATGATCATCAGCGTGATGTTTTCATAGAAATGGAAGGAACAAAAAAAAATTCAGGGGGACAGCAACTTGATGGGAAAATTATCTTTATAAAAATAAAAATCAGGAAGGCAACAACTTCATTGGGAAATTATTAATTGAAAAACAATTTGAATAATTTTCAACAGTTTTCGTATCCAAAAATTGCTTGTTGGTCATATTTCTCATCAAGTAGTTATCCCCCTGGAAAAAAATATTGCAGCTTCTTCAAAGACTGCATGAAACTTCCGAATTGTTCATTTTGAATTTTTGAATTTTAAAAAATTTAATTTTTATTATTTTCTAAGTCACCTGAATTTGGCTGTAAATCAAGCAATTTTAATAAAGTATGTCACTCAAGAAAAGCCCCCTAACAAACTCATCTATATTTCTACAGTAAATACGATAAAAATGCAGAAGTTCATGGCAAGCATAGACATACACTCTCAGCAAGTCAACATCACTAGATATCAGCAGCATGCAAAACATAAAAAATACAGCATAAGCATCGAGTAGTTGATGATAACAATAACAACAAACATGATTGCCGTTCCGTTCTGTTTGCTTTAAATTATGCCAAGTATTCTCATAGTTTACTGGTGTTGTTTGCTTGCTGGTTGGATGGTTATTTTTTAGAATATATATGAAAGATTCTATTGTACTTTTTATTCTGCTTTTTTTCTGTTATACTCTTTAGTGACTGCCACACTATAGAACTGTGAATTTCGAGCATGGCACACCAACCATAAATTAATTTTTCAATTGGTCTTCTTTAATTGTTTTCTTTATTCAACTTCTTTTCCTCATTTTTTTTATATATCAACCAGCTAATGCTTTTATTATTGTTTGTATTATTAACACACACTTCATGACACAGTTGGAGGGCTTTTTACTCTGAGAATTATTTATGGATATTTTTTTTCCGTTTACGCTTATGCTGCTGCTGCTTCTGGTGTTTTGCCATTAGAATAAGAAGAGGCAAAAGAAAGAAAAACATTTTTAAAGTTGTGTGTTGAAAAGCTTTTCTCTCTATTCTTTTAGGATTAATTGCAGTGAATGAGACTTGTTTTATACACAGTTCACTCAAAGCATTTATTTTGCTAAGATTAAGAAATTTTATTGAAGAGAGTTGAGAGGAGTCTGAAATTTCAACTTTTTACAAGACGTCATTTGTAAACGACCCTTATAAGAAGATTATTTTTTTATTTGCACTATTGTCTCATGAACCATAGTTTGAGAAGTACTGGTCTATATTATGTGATTAATAAACCAACCTTGATGGGATTCGAACCCATGTTTTCATAAAATTGTATTTTATAGATTTTAGATATGTTGCCAAGCCACTCGGCTACAGAGGCCATGTTATTAAACTTGCAGATTCGCCTACATACCAAATTTCACTCTACACAAACATCAAATTATAAAGCATCAGTAAATCCAAACTGAGTTAATTAAGCTCCTTTTAAACTTAACCTGAATGATTTTCATACATTTGACACATCGAGGTGATACAAAAATTCTATAGAGTGTAAAAGTTTATTCATTTGCTGAATCATTCATAACCTTATCATCCATTAACCATCTGTATTTACACAAAAAAAAGCAGAGAAATACAGGGAAAAAAATATAATAATGAATGACATCGCATAGCTAAAGAGCATAAATGAAAGGAACAAGCGACAAGTGTGAAAGATAAAAATCGAAAATTCATAGCTTTTTAACATTTTTTTTGTGTTCGTATTGTTGTCATTCTTGGATTTATTTATTTGTTTGTTTGTTCATTCACTGGCAGAGACTGTGAATCTGAATGACTTTTCTCGCTTTTATTATTGTTTTTATCCATTTCATGCTAGGCTGACGAAATGAGATATTTTTATGAAAATTATTAAAAAGAAGAAAAAATTTTGAGATAAAATTATTGAAAAGTTTTGAGAAAAACAATGAACATGAATGGGAATCTAGGGGGAGAACAACATGGTGGGATAATTTTTTGAAGGGAAATTTACAGCAAAATGAGAATTGTCACATCGTTCTTCTAACATAAGCCTCCCAAATTTTAAATTCTTAAAAATATTTCCTCATCATGCTGTTGCCCCCTTGACAAAAATTCACTCAAAGCAAAACTTCTTCAATAGCAAGTATTATGATTGGCTGTTTGTTGGGATCTAAGTAGAATCTTTTCGAATTTTGACGCCCCCCCCCCCCCCCTCCATGCGCTGCACTGTTAATTATTTTGAATTTCATTAAACTAAATAATCATTTTTCCATTCTTTTCCACATCAACAGATTTTTGATTTTCAAGCAGATTAAATATCAAAGATTTTTGTATGTACGAACATATCAGTTATGTGAATGAAATGAAAAACATTCGACATTTCACAGAATTACATCGAGCCTTATAATCTCTTATAATGTTACAAAGCGTTTCATTTCATTCTCGTTAAAATTAATTTTTCTCGATGGAATCCCACTGTGTTCATTCGAGAAGCTTAATTAAGTCCATAAAAAAAATTTTTCAATATAGATTTTCGTAATCATTTTTCATTCTTTCGCTCATTTTAATCCAATCACGAGTTGACAAAAAAGAGGAATTGACAGAATAAAATCCATATAATAACTTACCAAATACCATTGCTCTTTAAAAAGCGGATCAGGAAAGATGAGATGTGAATCTGTGCTACGATATTTAATTTGTGATCCGGTGGCTATACTACGCAATAATGCCAATGGATCACTACGAAGGCTACTTGATGGTTCCGGAAATTTGATACGTTGAAAGTCACGTTTCTTACGGATTTTCTCATGCTGTTGCTGTACCCATCGTACCTGAAAGGATAAATATGCATGTTTTATCAGTAATAGATAAAAATACCACAAATTATATGTATATGTTTGCATGTACGGTAAGTCCCTCTCATCTTCGGATGTATACATATAAAAAAAAATCAGTCTCATATACGGTAAAGTGTACTGTAAGGAGTATGTGAAATAACAGCATCACAGATTTAAGTGCCATAAAACAATTGTTGGAGATTTTCTTGTTACTTTTGCCACAAAATGAAAGATAAATTGTAAGTTGAGCATACAACGATAAAAATGGATTGTTGTAAAGCCACAGGAATTTGTTACATGAGACGCATTTTTTTCTCTTTAATTTGCTCAATGAGGGGGTTATTATGAGTGCTGTTTGACTTTAAAGAGACTGTTTGAATGAATTCAATTTTAATTAAAAACAAAAGTCTCTAGATGGGCCATCTACGGATGACGTCCAACGTTTATAAGAGGAGGGGACGGTTTTTTCGACAACTGTAGAAATCAGAAACTTAAAAAGTGCGTTTTAAGCAACCTTATAGCAAGGTTAAGCATATATAGATAGACTAGCTTAAGTCTTACTTAAAACAATCTTTGGTAGTTTTCTGACTACCGAAGAAGGGAGGGGGAGGGGGGGGGGGGGTATAAAAAATTTAAGTTTTGATGGATGTCACAAGTGAACGACCCCCAAAAAGAGTCGCACAAATATTTGAGCTAAAAAAGGAACAAAGACAAAGGTATAAGGCAAAAGGTACACATAAAAATATTATTGTTGCTATTATTACTGCTATGGAACTTTCATTTGTAGTTTCCTACCATATAATAATAATAAACCATGGTAAGTACACATAAGATGTACATATATATATAGAACATGGGAGGAGAACAAGAAAAATTGCTGAAGCACTTCTAAATCTCATGAAAATTACCTGGGATTTTCTAAGGATTATTGTGAAACTCAATTTATTTAGTTTATATAGAGAAGGAAAACCGAAAAGCAAAGCAAAAAAAATGGTAAGGAATGTCGACAAACTCTCTCAAGACGTACAAGCAATGAAGGAAGTTGAAAGGCATGAAGTGTGTACTAACCATAGAGCTATATGTCTCTCATGACATTAACAACAAACATGATGATGGAGAATGTAAGTTGAACTTTATAAATTGAGTTGAGATGAAGATGAGAGGGAAAATCTGCTTTTTTATGGCATTTTTATAAGAGAATTGTGAAGAAGTAAAAACATAAGGAGGAATAAAGTAATTGAAGTTATGGAAGTTGTACTTTGCATCGGACATTTCATAATAAATGTGATAAAAAAGATAAAATTATTAAGATAGGATTTTTAAGATGTATCCTGTATGGCAGGAAGTGTGATTTTTAAATTAAAAAAATAAAGTATTGGGAGTCGTTTACTTGTGACGTCTAGTTCAGTGCGTTACAAACTTTGAGTCACGTATTTCGAGTGGGTTCAAAATGTTATTCCATTTTAAGAAATTTATTTGGAGGGCAAGCAGGAGGGAGGGGGGGGGGTGTGCTTATAAAATTCAATTGTTTGCTAGACGTCATATGTGAACGATCCCTTAATATTTTATGAGTTTTAATTAAATCTGATAATACATACCTCTGGTTCCTTATTTAAGTTATCGTGATGCTCACTTCCAGTTTCTAGTGATCGTTTCTTTACATGTTGATGATGAAATAAATAATAACTTTTGAGACTTCCAATCTAGAAAGATAAAAAGAAATAAAATATTAAGTTTAAGACTTTTATATTTTTGTTTTTATATGTTGATTTACTAAGGGGAGAACAACATGGTGGGAACTAGTTTGTTGGGAAAACTTCATGAATTTTTAAACATTATCCATCAAAATTTTAATTGTTTCTAATTAAGTTGAGAAATTTGAGCAACTAAATTGTTCCCATCATGCTGTTGTCCCCTTAAAATTTTATAAACTACCCAAAAAATAAAAATTGAACAAACCAAAACTACATATACAAAAATGAGTGATGAACAGTCATAAAACTGAATAAAAATCAATAAAAAGTAAAGTCTATGAGTCAATTGAATAAACAGTAAGAAGATTGGACGATAGATACAAAAAAAGGAAAAGGTAGTGAAGCACAAAGCAGCAAAAATGATAGAGGCATGAGAGAAATAAAATAAGGCACTGGAAAGGTCGGAATTTTTTTGCTTTATCTGCCTTGCATGAAAATTGAATCTTCAACTTTTTTTTTTGCTATCCTTTCAAGTCTCTTTTCACTTTTCTTAGATGGAAAGGAAGACTTTTTTTTTCGTTGATGATAATTAAAAGAAAGGACGGGAAAAACGACGAAAAGAATCGAACTTTCTTCTTTTTGAAATTAATTAATTAAATAATTTTCCTCTTTGATCAGAATGAGATTTCTTTAAGGGATTGTTCAGCTTTTATTTTCTTCAAGGGGTTTTAAAAAAAAAAGTTTTCATCTTCGTGGGCGCCAAGATTTTTCTTGTTTTAACTTGATTATTTTCATTGGAAGCATTACCTTGGTAGCAAACCTTACAATTTATAGGTAATTAAAGGTCTGTTATCGTTAGTTCTAATCTAACCTTTATAGTTTTTGCTATACCCTAAAGATAATTGCTATGAAGACGAACAATTTCAGTCACGTAGACAACAATTATCTGCTTTAAAAATAAATTCTAAATGTTATCTTTGTGATGTTCCCTTGTAAGATTTTATTTTTATTTTATTAATTTTTTTGATGACCTAAATGATTCCCAAAACAAGTTATTGATTTATAACTTTAAGTTGATTTATTATTAATCTTGATATCAACTCAATTTGGTATACTTTTCTAATAAATAAACCAATGAACTTATCCAACATCTAAAAGACTCTATCGAGTCCATTATCCTTTGAACTTATTTCTTTGAAGAAATATATAGCAAAAGCCATGTGTCAAAATGTCAATATTTGTCACGCTTATTATAAACTAGCTTTTCTCGTGTTCAGTTTATTTTTATCGATTTTGTATGGCGGAACTCAACTCCATTTTATCTACTTTGAGCTCTGGTATATTTGGAGACTCTATAGTTGCATATTACTAGTCCTCAGCAATCAATTGTTTGAAAAACAAAATCAATTTGAATCAAAGCAGTGGGTAAATGTTGGTAACCAACCCATCTTCTGTTCTATATTTTATCGTCATTGAGAGCGAAAGTCTTGAACAAACTGAAGAAAAGATCTACAAGGCAAGATTCAATTGGGAAATTGAAAATTTTGCTCCATCCTAATAATATAGAATATAGAAAATACTTGAATGATAGAAAATGAAATCCAAATTCAATTTAACGGGTAACGATAGATATAAAACTTCGTTTTCGCTTTTTATCGAATAAAGTTTCGGATTTCATCTTCAGTTTCTCAATTTCAAACTTTTTTTCTCCTTTAATATAAGACAAAATTGTTGTTGCAAACAAAATGATAAAAAAAACTTTTTGAGCGCATTTTCGCCAATAATGGTGTCAATTAATTCATTTCAAATGGTTTTAATTTTACTTGAAGCTGATTTTGTAGCTAGTTCACAATATAGGGATATTAGGGTCTCTATAACAAATCTCACACTTCTCCAACTTCTAATTTTTCCCCATACACTCCCCCTCCCATTCATAAAACTTTAGGCTACGCGATTGAACAAAGCATAAGAATCAATCCCCAACGCAAAGCGTCAAAAAGAAGATAGAGAAAGTCTATAGGCATAAGGAAAAATCAATCGAGCATTACACAAGGGATAAGAAAGGAAGAAAATGGAATTTTAATCCAACAAGCATGCAGACAAATACACGTGTGAATAAAACTCATACAATAACACCATTTTAAGTAAAAAAAATTCTCTGATCATTAAAAATACATTCTGTCCATGATTTCACACACATTTTCTCACTCTCATATACATCTGTAGCATAAAAAAAATTTGGACAAGCAACCTCAAATCTTTGGTTTATCGAAATTCAACGTTCCGAAAAACACATCCTTTCCGGTAACCGGATATTTTCTCACATGCTTTTATTCTTTTTGCTCTTTTTCAATCCTTTTTTTATGATGTGAAATGGCTTTAATGACACTGAATTGAATGGAGGGAGATGGAAAAAAATCTTATTTATTGGATATACGAACGTTTGCGTGTCATATTATATTTATATATGTATGTGGGAGTAAGTGCTTTCTATCTCGATTCTAGAGATAATTTAGATGACCCATAAAAATGAAATTTGTCGTCATATTTTATAGAATAAATGGTTGTATATTTTGGCAGAGCTTTAAGGGCAAAAATCTATTTGGTATTTGGGTTTTCGTGGATTTAAAAAGGATATATGAGGATATATAAAAGGATGTGATTTTTTTTGAATAAATTAAGCAACGGAATTTAATTTAAAAATTTAATCTTTCCAATTTGTACAAAAATTCGGAAAATAATTTTTCTCCGTCTCATCTTTTGTGCAGCTTGTCTTTTAAATTCACACTTTTATTTCCTTTCTGCTATGTGACTTGAATAAAATTTGATTTTTTTTTCACTTGCCACAAAAAACTTTCTTTTACTTTACTATGTCATCATTCTCAGATAACAAATAAATTCATTCGTTATCTTTTCAGTAACCAGGGGGGAAGGGGGGGGGGGAGTATATAGACCACAAATTTTCCAACCTTAACAGAAATTTCGTCATTTAAAAGTCCTAAAAATCCCCAACCCCACAAAATTTTTCTTATAAAAATGATCCCCCCCCTCTTTTAAATTCATGGCTGCACCCCTGCTTTGCATTATTTTTGAATTTGATAAATTCATAAGAACAGTCGCGTATCTTGAATTTTTACAAGAATGCTCTCACATTTTGTATTTTTTAATGGAAAGTTAAGGGGTTTGTGAATATTTTTGAGATTCCTTCTGAATAAAACCAACAAACCAAAGAATTTTCTGGGTGCAAGTCCCTATTTTGCAATTGTGCCTTTAAAGTCTAGAATTTAAAGTATACCAAAATTCAGTAAATCCTTTCGATTCTCTTATCAAACTGCAAAAAGACAAGAATTTGAAATGTAAATTTTTAGTGCTGTTCAAATACACTTGAAATTTAAGAAAAACTGAATGAAAGCTTGTAAGTGTATCTGAATGATGCAGATAGGAGAAAAATAAAGAATGAGGATGATTCTCGACAGTGTTTTTGTGGGTATAGAATAAATTTTCCATTTTACAATGCTTCTGTTAGCACTATACTGCAACAGAAACAAATAAAATAGCAAGTAACAGCACTTCATACTCATGAGAATCTAAAACGCAATTTAATAGCTGAAAAATCATTCAATGAAGATGTTTTCAGTAAGTCGCATGCAGATAAACTTAGTAGTAATTTTCAGAAACCTAAGATAAGATTGAAAATCGGTTAAATCAAATTTTAAGTATTATTAAAATTTGACTCTGACTAAAGTAAGGTAGCTAAGGTAGCACTAGGTCCAGGCGCGTAGCCAGGGGGGGGGGGATTTGGGGGACAAATCCCCCAACGTAAAGAGAAATTTATTTATTTTGCTAGGGTTTTTATGAAAAAATCACACCCCCCCCCCCCCCCCCCCCCCCCCCAACTTAAATTTTTCCATACAAAAAAAAATTTTTTTTGCCCCCTCTTAAAATTCATGGCTACACCCTTGACTATATCATATTGATAGTTCCATACTATGAAAATCAGCCAAAAATTCAAAACTGTATAAAATAGCAAGACAATCTGCAACCATTTTATTCATTCACTCAGCAAAAGTAAGAACCATCTAAAAATGGAAATAACAAACATGTCGAAATAGTAAAAAAAATCTCGATCTCATCAGTAAAACTCGCAGAGTGAATACCAAAACGAAGGCGATGAGTTATAAAAGAATGTTAGATTGGGAGAGTGTGAGAAATAGTCTGAATAATGCTGAGTAAAATTTTTGGGAAATAAAAGCTTCAGGAAATGAATTTTTAAAATCCATCGAGAACTTTATGCTTCAACAAAGAATACTTTATGGATTTGGATTTTGTTTTACAGTTTTAACACTTTTTTCTTGGAAATTTCAAGATTTTGAAAGCTTTGTAGATTAAAATTTCACTAATAAATAATGAAAATATTTTGGATATGATGGAAATAAAGATGATTATCAATACATCCATCAATATCATGACGTAAATATTAAAAAAAAAACTTGTTATTCATTTGTTTTTTGCATGTTCATTCACATCAGAAAATATTATTTTTTCATTTTTTTTTTATTATTTATTTCTCGATATAAATTTTTATATTTTTTTGTTGCTGATTGTTCATCATGTTTTTCCAACTGTGAAGATATTTTTGTTCTCTTTTCACTACCGTCTACCTTGCTTGCACTTGTTTTTCATCAATTCAACGAATTGGAAACAACAAAAAAAGGAAAAGAAAAAATATTCTATAATAATAACAAGTGAAATTTTTTTAAAACTCAATATATCATAAAATGGGGGTTATTCATAAATGATGTAAAATTTTTTTAAGATAAGCGATGCCATTGTTTGATTTTTTCTTACAAAAAAAAAACTTTTTGGCAATTTTAGAAAAGGATGAGATTTAAAAATCCTATATAAGAAAAAGGACGTCATTTATGAATGACTCCCTCCTTGTAGTGTAGGTGGCTTAAAAAACATTCATTGTGCGCTTTCTCCACCAATTGAATCATTCAAATATAAAA